TCACTTCACGGAACTAATGAACGTTCCCTCAGATGAATAATAAGACAGTTCTGATACGAAGGTAGCCAGCTAGACAATGCGAAATCCTTTGAATTCATAATCAAAACGAAATCTGGTAGTTCCTTCTAGACAATTGCTAATAAAGTTGAAATAGTTGTATTAAAAACGTAACTACTAATCGAAAGTATAAGTCGCCTGTAGGCCATACCACACGCCCCTATGGATGTCACGTCTTATGCCATGAATTGTTGTCCCTGTTTTCGAATCGCTAATCTGCTAACGATCAAATAGCAATCAGTAGTGTTCGATAGCAAGGATCATTTGTTGCTTGATCCACAGCCCAGGCCATCAAAGGTCAAGACCATTTGGACCGAGCAAACCAGTCTAAGCGTATAAAATACAAAAACACGTAGATGAGAACTGAAAAAATACATTCCACATTGATCCATGCAACGCGACACGGAAATAAACCGGTCTCAGTTAGTCAATGCTTGATTGTGTAAAGTAAATTTATGACGTTTAGAGATCGCTGTGACAAGAGTGTTTTTTTGTTTTTTTTTAGACTCTCTGGTACGAAAGGTGGAGTAATCCCATAATTAAAGCATTACGTGCATTTGGAAAACATTTGTTGCGATAACAAGTACTTGTTTTAACGCTGGAATAACTGGCGGTCAGAGCATCCTGTGTTCTTATAATACCATGCAAATTGAGCAGGCTTTCTATGATTAAATGTCTCCACTCAATTTGCATGTTTATGATTTAAAATAAATTTTTCCCGGTATAATATATTTGGGCATGTATGAAACACAAAATACAGAAAAGATAGGCAAACCAATGCAATTAATCATTCGAGTGAGTGAATGGGTACCCGCTCGAGAAGCCCAGCGTATCTTCCAAGTTTGCAAATATAAATAAATGGTATAGTTTATAATTTGTAGTTTGCTACGGCTCCTCAAGAAATATTAAAAATACAAATTCTACGACATGTTTCAGGCTTGCTACGACATTTTGATTATTTTTTAGGACCCGAAAGAAGAATTTTCCTGAAATGTAGTATCTTATGGTGGTTCTATAAGTTCACCTTTTCCACTGAAAGTGTTTCATATATTATCTCATAGTTGACAATGTACTATGTATTATTTTTAAGATGAAATAATTTCCATTTTAATATTTGCAATCCTTATATTAACACGGTGAAATATATATAGTTATAACAATTTGGCATATGCTATATTATACCATATATATGACGACTTTACTGGTCCGACTAGACTGATATCATAAAGCGGTTTCTGGAATGGTCAACCTGAAGGCTCATGTTGTTAACTATTCAGGACCTACTAATAATTGCATCATACATTGTGTACAATGATGCTTCGTTGCTGACCCACGCTGCCCGGCGGTAAAACTTACAGGCGGGTTATATGCCTGTTAGACGGGTCAAAGACCTAGACGGAATATGAAGCAGAATCCCGCGAATTTTGGCTTCACTTTTACCAGGTTTTCTCGGAATGCTGAAGTTAGTGACAGAGGTTCTCGCCGAACTGTAGCGCCCCCTCCAGGAGGTAGACAAGTCTATTACAAGCTATTTCAAGGCTGTTCTGAAAAACGAGGCCTTTGTTTGATTCTTTATAGAGATTATCTCAAATTAAGCTTATCCGGTAGATGGCAACTGTGGCAACTTTGACATAAAAAATTTCCAAAGCGGGTGAGAGGGATAATTAGTTGGGTTTAAGTGTTAGGGACAAGCTGATTCTTCACCTTTCTATAACATGCTGAAAAAAGTTTGATTGTTATACAAGATAAGCAATTCTGGGCAGATGAATCGGTCACCATATGTCAGCGGTGTGCCTGAGAGACATAGCGTGTTTCACGTTGCAATTCTGCCACCTACCCAAAGTCGCATTGCCTCGGTTTCGGTTAGGTTTATGGTCAGTACTAATTTTGAGGTAGCACCATTGAGCATGGCGTCAGACCGAGGACGGCCTGTGGGTGTTCATGCCGAATCTTGCGGGGTCCCGCTGTCTAACATAAGCATAGGCTTTGGAGGTCTGAGTCACTTCTAGGACGGCGAATTCCTGGCCCAGTTTTTCGTGTTTGCTTGTTGTCGCTCGTTCAACGTTGCGCAGGACAATGAGACGCCATGGAATACGGTATCATTAGGTAAGAACATCTCAATAAGGTGATGTTAACACAATGCACATTTATGGAGGCCAAATCCCTGATATAACCGACGCCCGGCTCCTCTTATGAAAATAGCTTTCTGGTGCACCAGGGATTTCGTGTACTGGGTGCTATATGTCCTTTGGCATTTCACTTTGAGCGCATCTATATATAAATATGAGGAATAGTTTTAGCTGTTTGAAAGCCTCCAAAATACAAAATTTGGGTCTTAATACTTTTAAACTGAACGAAAAACTACGTGGAAACGACATTGGAATCTCCTTACTCATTAGTAACGAGCGGGTACGCTAATCGATGTAAATGTGCAACAACAAAAAAATAAAAAGAACATTTCACGCTAAAGAGCTTCAGGAGAAAATAGTCGTTCGTCACTAGCACGCGTTGCCAATTGCTGAGCTTCACAAGGAAATGCGAAACATAGACCGGAGATAATTTCAACTGTGTAATAATGGCCTATGAAACAAATTGCATCGCCTTAGACACGATGGGCAAAGTTGTTTTATGGAAATCTAGAGCAACAATCCTAGGAGGTCCTAAAACACAAATGCTAATGATAACTCGACTATTAGTTGGTTGAGCGTTGTATGAGAGTAATAATAAGTTTAAATATCGTTTAGTGGTGAAAATCAACGCTCACTTATTACGTTACTGATTTTGTTGAAGGCTGTTTCATTGCTGATTGTCGAGCAATCAAGATCAAATCGTCACAAATGCAATCAAACTAGAAGCTTAAAGACTACAGAAGACGCGAGTAGACCTTAAAACTCTAATGAAAGAGCGAAATGTTGTAATCACAAAAGTTTCCTGTTTATAGAATTAGTTTTAAAGTTTAAAGTTAATTACCGACGTTAATGCGGTGTGTACAGGGGTAAAACTATAGCGTCCATACCTAATATTTAACAATAGGCATTCAACAAAATAACATACAAACATTAGAAACAGAAAAGACAATAATGAAATAGTTTTGAAAACATTCAATAACAGGTTTTATTCACAAAAGCCAAACTGGTAAGTACCAAAAATGAAGATTTGGTTCAAGGTAGCTCCGAGCGAGCTTCTTAGAGGCAATATTAGGTTGGTAGACAAGAAACGCACTTAACTGTTAGTGACAAATTAATTTTTTCTACTTCACTCTCTAAGAACTTTTCCCATATTTTAACGATTTTTTTTCTTTCTCGCAGGAATTTTTTTTAAGAACTCGTTAAGCTTTTAAAAACTCGTATAACTAAATTTTAACATTGCCTTCATTTTCAAGTTTGCGGTTACTGGTTTTATTTGTCAATGATCAAACAAAGTGTTAATTCGTTGTTGCAAGGTTTAGGTAACGTGCAGGGTATACAAAATCTTCCACTCAAGCTTCTACAGAGTGTTCGTTACAGCCTTTGTCATGTGGAGTCCTCATGAATTGCGTACGCCCGACTGGAATGGAGTGCACACTATAAGTCTAGGACATCATTTTTTTTTGAGCAATACACTTTGTTATAGCATTCTTGCTCTACACGGTACAGGTATGCCAGGCTATTTTGGCCATTTTTATCCCTGGCAAGTAGCAAAATAAAGAAAGTGTATGTTGTCTTTACCGGGAATCTCTGTCTTTGCAATCTAAACCTGACGTAAAACTTTGTTCAGGTTACAATTTATGGAATTATAGATTTATAGAGAAAAAAGGACATATTCGAGTAATGTGTAGAAGTAAACAAGGAGTATAAAGATAAAAAGGTGAAGGAATATTAAAGACGACTCTCACGTACCAACATAATAGTCGTAACTACTGTTTCTCACTTATTTCTGTTGGTCCTAAACTTAGTTCTTAAGGATACCATTGTTTACTATTCTTCCTCATTGTTAGTGTTTCTCAGAATTTTGATATACGTGTTTTAAGGAATTCCATATTGAACTTACGAGAAACGTACTGCCCATGCATGATTTAAAATTTCCCATGGCTACAGCAGTTCGTTCTCCCGTTGGAAGCTTTGAGGCGTCACTGCCTTCTTTGCATTTTTCAACCTTTTATATTCGCCTCCTAAAATGAGCACACCGGTGATAAACTCTTATTGCGTTAAAAGCTCCAAGCTTATAGGAGTATACCAATCCTTAATATATCCCGTCGACGCCCTAGTCTTCTAGAGGGTAAAAACTAATCCCTGAGCGCTAATTTTTAGCGCCAAACGATATTTTTCCTTTCAAGCTTATTATTCCCTGTTGACACTCAAACAGTTGATAGTTGATAACAAAAAACCTTAATGTCAACATTTACCACATTTCATCTGTTAATGGCATGTTAATCAATTTTTTTGACCTGCTAGGCAGCTCCAAACGACCTATCGCGTCTCATAAATCCTAATTGCGTGCAACCTTGCCTTGAATGGGTGCTCTTAGAGCTGCAAGCGTATACTTCTCGGTATATCTTTTATATCTGGCGGGCAATTGAGAACTTAACGCCTCCTTACAGACAGCGCCAGATAAAGGAGTTCATATGCAATTCTAAGCAAATGACTTTAAACCTTCGGAGTTTTTTTGCCGGCTAGCCTAATGAGCGTTTCATAGTATAGGAGTTGTTCCTGTGGATTTAGTTAAAATTTTCTGTGCCAACTAATTATAACTAGTTAAAAATAATAAGATGCATCACTTATTACTAGAATCTAGGAATGATTTACCCGAGATCTGATCATATTCTTCACAGCCTACATTACCACGGCAACACATCATTTCCAGCCAGACTCGTTTATTATATTTATTATTATACACCCATTTATTCATATACAGCTGTCGTTATCTCTTTTTTTCAGTGTATTAATAATAAAGAACACCGATGATCGAAACGTATTATGTTTATTATGCTATAGATGATACATACAAATGATTATAGTGACTGGTAACATTGTCAAATCGATGAGTTTTACAACATGTGATTGGAGAGGGTATACGTAAATTTTATATAAGAAGGTTTATTGAGACCTTAAGCTTGTGCACAATTGGCATGTTATGCTAATGAATTAAATATAATGTAAACAACACTTGTATATGCATGTTTACACGTAAGCGATAGCCAAACGGGCTTCAGTACAGACAAAAGTTACGGCGTTGTCTAAAGATCACATTCGATACAACAATACGATTGCTTAGATTCAGAAGTACAAAATTGAAGGCACACGGTAATAGCTTCACAAGTAGGTATAAGGATCAATAACCATAAAATACATGTGTTGTATAAGGAAGCTGCTCTAAGTGCTGTCATTGTTTTGGACTGTCACAAACTATCTAGTAGTCGTCCTCGGGCAGTAACGTGATGGACAAGTTATGATGCGGGAAGTTATATGTCTTCGGAAGCGTCAACTGGAAAGAATGATAAACGTATATTTAATGATGACGTGATGCAAAGTAAATAGATTGCGCAAAAAGTTTTGCGTCTAATTTCTAATAGGAGTAGGCACTGAGAGATTAATTACTTTGGTAAAGTGGATTTTCCGAGCAAATGAGCAGCTGAAGGCAATGCGTCTGGAAAGGCTATGAGAAGAGAAAATCCTGAGGGAGAATTCGATAATGCTAACTAATTACTCCTGTAATCAATTTTCCTATTGGACTAGAGCAGTAACTATTGGCTTGCTGGGCTAAGAAAGGGTGATACAGAGAAATGGAATGTAGATTTAAAGGGTATGATCCTGGGAGTTTATGTCCAAGGGTTCCGCACGATGCTTACAAGCTCCGGAATCTGACAACTCATGCCAATCCGGTAACGTGCAGAAAGGCAATTTTAATCCCTTTCCACGGCTGTGCGGTTACTCTGGAAAAAAGGTATGGGTCCTCTCATTATTTATCAATGTAGACTGACCATTTCGGGATCATCTTTCGTGAGGTGATCAAGATCATCAATCATATCCTCAAGGAGATCTTCCTGAATTAAGGCTTGGCACCATTGACCTTCGACTCCAAATGGGGCCTCTTCCGTTACAAAGGACCCTTGCACGGATGGCACGACAAACGTGAGAGCATTTGAGTCGTGCGCTGACTTGTACGTAAAGTGCCTGCCATGCTTGAGTCGACCCTTCAACATTAGCGGTAACAAAAGGCCGGCTTCGAGGTTAATATGTAAGTGCAGCGCCTTCAGTCTCCTTATAGGGGGTGGCATTCCCTCCTCTAAACATTGTTCCTCACAGGGATCTTTGTGAAGACCACCAACACCACTGGCTACGTCGCGACCTATCCCACGCTCACCTACAGGTGAAGCACAATCCGCATTCCTAAAAGATAAAAGTAAAATAACAAATAAAAGTATATCAACTACTGTCTTATTTCAAAATTGTTACTATTTTCAGTAAATCGTGTTTCATGTCCGTAATAATTATTAAGCGTGAACCAAGGTAACTTTGGACACGTGTATGCATCGATATTCCCGAAAACTGCCAGATTTTTGTAGTATGTTGTGTATACGATTGGCTTGATGGGAACACGGTATAATAAAAGTGACAAACGGAAAAAATGTGCCTATGCGAAAATAAAAACTTTGCCGTAACAATAATGCCCACTGATCTATATATTATAAGTATATAAGTACACTAATAATATTTTATAATTTTCTATAATGGGTACTATTGCTATTATTAATTCGTGCTATAATTAGTGTGCATATAGTAAATATGCAGAGATTTTGAAAGCACCATTTAGTGTCATCTAGGTATCAACGCAAGCATTAGTGGAGAGAATTAAGCCAAGAATACCAATAGGGACAAGATATTCGCTTGAAGTGCTTTACTTAGGTATTATCGCAATCACTGTGCAAGCATTTTATCTAAATGAGCGCAAACATCAACAATAAAAAATAAAACAGCTTTGTTTACCTTTCGGTAACGCCAGGGCAATCCGAAACATGTCCTATTTGGCCTGACATCTCTTCGGACCAGAACATTTTTGCGCCAACTCCAGAAAGATCTGAACCTTCTTGAGAAATACCCATCTGTACAGCCTCTTCGACGTCCACTTCCAACTCGAACACACTTTCACCACGACGCATATTGGTAACGAGCCATGGGCCGCCTAGGCCAGGAACTCCTATGATTACAAATTATAATAAGCATACGTGTGTATAGACATTGGAGTCAAGCAAACAGCATCTAACTCATTAACAACGAACACACAAGCAGAATTATTATTGGGGTAACTTGAAATTAAGTATCCATAAACAAAGTACATAGCTCAAATTCGGACAAACTTTGGCCGGTAGTTTTGTTGTAGCGGTTATGTGTTTTATCCGCTATTCTTAACATCAGTAAAAAGCTAGGTTCTTCTAGAACGAAAAGATCTTTTTTGGAAGATATTTTATCTGTACAACCTCCTCGACGCCCACTTCCAACAGAAACACGTTTTTACGTCGCCATGAAAATTGATTTCAACAAAAAAACAGACTTGTTATGACGAAAAATTGTAGTCCATTTTCTAAACTTGGAGAAAAGATCAAATATTATGCAGTGTCTTCACGTAGGACGACATCCCATTAAGACTATAAACTTCCTTGTTACTTCAAATCAACGCTTTAATACACCGTAAATGCACATGCGGCCGCAAAAAAGGCAGAAGACAGCACAACAGAGAAAAATACTGGAGACTCGAGAGTAATTCAATTCATTCCAAAAGTGCATTTTTAATTTTTCTTTTATTTTAATCAGATAGCTGGAATTCAATAGCTGGAATAAAATTTTCAGGATCTATAAGTATAGGTGGTTTAATTAAAGCTACGTATATAAATAATAGTATCATCTAAGAAGTATCTAAAAGAAGACTATACATCCTCCAGCAAGGTGCTTGGTCTCATATTAACTTATTAGGCTAGGGTTGGTTACTGGAGAATAAAAACATCCTGCAACATATAGCCGTCAAGTTTCCCAGATCTGAATTGGCTGAGTTACTATATATGAGGCGTTTTAATACATATATATATATATATATATATATACTACAGCTCCTCTAAAAATCACTCAGTTTTAAAATTATGTTTTAAAATTAGTTCATATGCTTCTTGCGAAAGGAGTAAGCTATGGACGGTCTCGATGAACGATAAAATTAGATAATTGTCAAATTAAGTTTTGTCGCTTCGTATCTGTATAAAAAAGAACTCCACACGTCCGAAAAAAGCTTAGCACTGCGTTGTACTACATTGTAGTACAAAAATAACCAAATGAGCATATGATGCCTGTAATATATATATATATATATATATATATATATATAGTATTTAGTACCTTTCATGAGTTGTAGAAAACTCTTTCCATTCCAGTGCTGTGCAGCCTTGAGCTCTTCTTGACATACGCCTACAAGCTGCATGAATTGTACCGAACCACATGGGGTCTCGACTGTACCGAGCTGGGCATCGACGGTCATTAACATGTGCTGAATACGAGACTCGGAATTGTCGAGAGGACAGTGCCATGATACATGGTCTCCATTGCAAAGAATATTATCTGAAAAAAAATTTACAGTAAACCAATTCCTGCATGATACTGGATATAGATAGGAAACTGAATGTAAACTACCTTAAATCCTCATTAAAATTAGGTCACAGCTGATATGTATTTTTGACACGTACGTTGTTGAGGAAAATTTCGGTAGAGTTTGGGTTTGTTTTTAGATGCCTTACAACAAAATTATCCAGAAAGTACTGCTTTTAACCATCCAGGGCTAACACTATTTTTGTTTAAATTATAGACATAATGTTTTAGGTTAACCCAAATTGAACAAGATGGGCCTTTTTATCTTCTAAACATGCTGCCTTTGTTTTAAAGAGGTTGCCTAAGGTCAGAAATCGACCGCCTGTTTAATGAGGAAACCATATTATTAGCTTTTGTCTTTGCTTGTAATCGGCCTTGATATATTGTAAAGCACCGAGCAATTGAAAGAGTCAAAATAGACCGCACAGAACGCATAAAAGTTTCGGAAATTTAAAGCGAGAAAAGCTTTATTAAAACCTTCATTTAGGATAAACATACCTGACTGAATCACGTATCTAGCGAGCCCTTGCATTACAGCCGCAGGCCAAGTTGGTGGAGCTGTATCTCCTTCTTCTTTACGCAAACGAAATGTTAGCTCGAAACCAAATCCCGAAGGTGAGCCTGGTCCAGTGAAGTCATGGACTCGACCGTCACCGTGAAGGTCTGACAAACCGAACGATACGTAGTGCCAATGCGGAGGGATACCCTGTGAGGGGTCGCCCACGTTTGAGTACATAGAAATATAATCCAATGGATCAGGGCCGCCCATCCTGTCAATATAAAGATTAAATAAAATTTTAATTTTAAACAGTTTAGGAAATAAGGTTGCAGTCAATATCAGGATACAAGCAAAAACACGTTGCAGGACAAAGGAATCAGATGATCTGGTACATGATTAAATATATATATTAAATATATATAATATTCAGTGACTTAATATTCTATATTCAACAATCATAAAAGAGACATATTTGTTCTGGATTATGTGGATAATAACTATGTGTCTATCAAAGACGCAATTAATTTCCCGTACAAATGGTACGTCCTGAGCACGGTACAAGACGATAACTGACTGACACTCTTGCTGATTTGTAAACAGAAACTACTTCACGATTTCTCTATTTTTTTAAATTACTTTGAACGTAAGTATTACAATGCATAGATAAAGTTAGGAGCAAAAGATATCGACTACCAATAGAGGAAATAAGGCTGGATCATTTAACAGTCTTACTATGAGTATGACAAATTTCGAGTTGACAATGTAGCGTTTCATTTAAATTTGGAATAAGAAAAGTAGCTGAAGTTAATGCTTTAGAAAATAAATTTTACATTGAGTTTAGCCTAAAAGCGAAACCTATTTTAGACGAATTATACGAGATCTTACTCTAAGGAACGCTAAAGTCTGCTTTTTTATGCTACTAATATTGACCTCTTCAACAAGATTTCGAATTATTATCTGGAGGAACTCTGGAAAAAATTTGGCTCATTTGAAAAAATCTAGGGAGATTTCGAACGCAGCTTTACGTTATAATTTTGAGTAAGTAGTAAGTTTCTGACGGGCACAAAAAATATGATATACGTGTATTAGCTTCGAGAAAAAACACGTGTCCAACTTCTTGTTTTTCCACGGAAAATATTGGCTTGAGTTGTGCCGTTATATTGAAAGAAAAGTAAAACTGAAACACATTTCTTAATTATTTGACCCATTTGATGTGTCTATACTATTAATGTAAAATTCATGAAATTAATCAGATGTTGCACAACGCATCCAATACTATCCAGAAATATACACCTATCTGAACTTTTTCTGTAGGCATTTTGTCGCATGTGGAGATAATAAGAAACTTTCAATTTTCTGGGTTTCATTTTCACAAAATCCGAGGCATCACCAAGTAACAGTACAAACCACCAGAAGAAGAAAGCATACAATCCGTAAGCAAGACGCCAGCTCAAGCAAGTGATCTATCATATCCTATCGCAACAGATCATCGCTCATGAGAAAATGCAAGAAAAATGTCTATAGTGGTTAAAAATAGAGACGGCATCTGTGACAGAAGGCGTCAAGGGCAGTTCCATTACGGAACAGTCCATTTAACTTATAATACAAAAAATCTGCGTCCCAAATTTTTAGCAGAGTTTCTGACCGGGTTATATCTCATCTAATTTCTCGTTAGATTACTCGGTACACATCCAGCAACCACATATGTATTCCTCTGTAACACTATGGGCGTAACCCAGTATATTTTTGTGTATATGCCCTCGTAATACCCTGCGTATATTCATGTTGAAATCATGCATACATAAGCGCATGTTAAGTTATATAAAGTACTTTCTTGCCGTCTATAAAAATAAGTAATTACTTACCAGTACTTTCGGACGGCAACTACTTGTAGTGGGTTTTGTTGATCTGTGTAAAGTGCCCTGCAAGCTTGGTACAAAGTATTTAACCCAGCAGGGACAGCAGGCAGCGGATGCATATAACCTATTCCAACGCCGACTGAACTTTGGGCCATCTTTACACCTGAGACGAAGTGGTTAAGTTCTTCCTTTAACAGTAGCCTCCTACCCAAAAAACTGGCACCAGCTGATAACATTCAGTTACACAATGGAAATTTCGTTCACGCGCACCGACACTACGAAAAGGAATCATATACTTTCAGTGAAATAAGACGACTAGGCCCTTAGACTATCGTTTAAACTTTTCAAGTGGTTCAAAAAATCGAGCTTCCAGCCTCCTCCCTTTCTTGCAAGAAGGCAACAAAAACAATAACAACATTCTGAGTGCGATTCAATATCCGTAGATTGTGTCGACGTTCGCCTGCAACATCTAATTCGAAACTGAAAGCATGTCTTGTTAGATCGCTGGGCAGATATGTGTTTACTTAGGTTACTTGATGCTATTCGATGACTGTGCTCGCATATATCCTGTGATACCCGCAGTATGGATTTGATCGCAGGTGTTAGATTGCAATTTGTGGGGTTGGAAAGGATAGTCAGGTTTTCTCCATAATGCCAAACAACCTTTTCAAAAAGGTTTATATGACATACAAGGACGAGCAATAAATGATGCTGAAATTCGTGTAAGGCCTCTAGTAATGAAAACTCCCTGGTTGCATTATCATCATTACATAGATGAAAAAAAGTATATAGTCGTAAAATTTATATATTTCAAACTAATTTTAAATGAGATTCCCTTTAATGATCACGAGTAATTATTGGTAACGATTTGGCACTGCGAAATGGACTCATCCTGAACCACATGGAGCGACAACCTGGATCTGTAAAGCAATTTTTCATTTTCAAATGTAGACATTTTCTCAATTTCCGATATCTCGATGTCTCAGTGTGTGTTGTTACCAAATTTTAACACTGGTGATATTTTAAAAGTATTTGGTCACATTGGTACCTCTCTTGTCCTGTACTTGTGTTCTTTATTATTAATTTCGAGTGTTCATGTTGTCGTCTGCTTATTTCTAGATATCCATGAACAAGTCTAATGGACCTCTGTGTGCAGTAAATTCGGCGGTTGTTGTTGTTCACGCTTTGAGGTGTGTCATCATCGGGACCGACTACTAACAACTGCTACGCTGTAAGCGGGCGGCAGGTGGCTAACAGAGCAAACTGGTGTCCTTTAGGTTTTGAGACTTCTTCAGTGAGCGGCCAGTGGTCGTCGCTTGAAACGTCTTACGAACCACGATGGAGGCATACGACGTGATAGTGAATCAACCTGTGGTTATCGACAATGTGAGTTTTTATATGGCTGTAATCTCAGATGGAATGCCGGGCAAACCGTCGAAGTTGAGCTCAACGAGCGTCACCATACAAGTGCAGTTATTTTTAAGAACGCCCAAGACAAATACTTTGCTTGTCTAGTTTTCGGATTTTCTGCCCGTTTATACTGGAATTCGTGGCCGATAATTGGATAAGATTAGAAACCAAGTGAATCCGTCAACCACAAATATTATTACCGTCAAATCATCGTCTGACTTGACAATTTCGTAGGTTCAATGCTTGTGTGTAAACTGAAGACATATTAACGTCTCTGTTAACCCAGACGCCAATCAAAACAGCTAAAATGAAAATCCCTTTTTTGTAGTGCAGATTAAACAGGATCGAACAATTGCTTCACTTGGGCAGCTGGGCTCAGATATATATATATATATAGTCATTTTCCTGTTTTAGCTTAATGGCAGAGGAAAGTCAGTGTTTTTGATGCTGGGTATCTTTTACCACCTGTTTAAAACTGAAGGGCGTTCTCACTATATATTGAAACTTGATAACGTTTAAAACAATCGTAATTTGTTCTTATCTCCTTTATAACGCGGACGATTGAAGCTTTTGCTTGGACCTGATTCAATTCGCTAAAGATACTGTTCTATTAAACTGTCTATTTCCAAACTTTTCATTATATATTTACGCCTTAGCCCACAACAGCTTACCTGTGAATCCCCATGATAGAGTACTGGGTCCTGGCATGGATTGTAGCATGGATGTCACAATACATGCCTGGCAACATCTAGCGCAATTAGCCAGTATCGAGTCAGAATGTCTTTCGCTTTTTATAGTGCTCCTAATAGAAGCAATAGTTAATATTTCGAATTCTATGAGGCAATTCGTAATTCTGGATTGGTCAGAGTATTCATTTTATTCTCCTGCTACGTTTCACAGCTGTAATAAATGAAAACTTACTTTCAAATAGTGGTAACGTTTATTACTGCCGTGCAACTGATTGCTAATCGAAATGCTTATATTTTCGCAACGATTCAAGGGATCCGGTATCATTAAAGCAGGATTCGCAGGAGATCACATACCGAAATGCAGATTTTCGAATTTGTAAGTATAAACATGGCTTATATGTATTTAACTGTCTTGTACGTGTATTGCATGCACAATATAATCATCGCATCTAACGAGACTAATGAGATGACTTATATTCTGTTTTGTTTATAACCGTAAATTTAAACTTGTTCAAAGCTCGATGCCGAAAGATTTTCTATGAAGTTCTATTTTGTTTAAAAGGTACATGTTCGTGTAACTAATCCGTCTAAGTGAAGTATGCCTAAGCCAAATCGATGTTTATATATTTTTTATTATACATTTTAAGCAATCTTATATAAATCACAGCTAGCACCTTTTGCTAATTATCGTTCTGCTTCTGCTTGGTTCATGCGAGGTGAATCTATATATAACGACAGTGTTGTTGTTTTCTTTTTAATTAATCTTACTTGTGCAGTATTGGGAGGCCTAAGCACAAACGCGTAATGGCTGGAGCTCTCGAAGGAGATCTTTTTGTTGGGCCTAAGGCTGAGGAGCATCGTGGCCTGTTAACGATCCGATACCCAATGGAGCACGGTGTAGTCAACGATTGGAATGATATGGAGAAAATCTGGCAATATATTTATTCTAAGGATCAACTACAAACATTCTCGGAAGAGGTAATGCAATGCAATCAACGTATGGATAAGTAGAAAAACACAGCTTTGTGGTACTCAATGTGAACGGTCTTGGTATTAGTTTGAATTACACACGTTACATAGTTATTTAATGTTTGTGTAAAAAGAGGCCCGATATTAGTGGAATGACGCATACAGCCCTGCTATTTCACCGGTGCTGTGCTTAGCATTGCGTTCTTATTGCTGCTAATATAATCGCAGGCTTACCTTGATTGTATACTTCCAGCATCCAGTATTGTTAACTGAAGCTCCAATCAACCCATTGAAAAATCGTGAAAAGGCTGCTGAGATCTTTTTCGAGACGCTAAACGTACCTGCGCTGTTCGTTTCGATGCAAGCCGTACTTAGTCTATACGCTACAGGCCGCACTACTGGTGTTGTCCTTGACTCAGGTGATGGAGTATCCCATGCTGTCCCAATCTATGAAGGTTTCGCCATTCCTCATTCAATAATGCGAATCGATGTGGCTGGTCGTGATGTCACACGCTATTTGTTGCGGCTCTTACGAAGAGAGGGTCACACATTCCACACATCCGCTGAATTTGAGATTGTAAAGAGTATCAAACAAAAAGTCTGCTATTTGTCAACAAATCCCCAGCGCGATGAAGGAGCTGAGATGGAGAAGACTCAGTTCGCACTACCGGACGGAAGCAGTATTGATATTGGCACTGCGAGGTTCCGCGCACCTGAAGTTCTCTTCAGGCCGGATCTTATTGGTAAGCAAATCTGATTTGAAGAAAGCTACCCTACAATAGAAAGAACATCGCAGACATTACTGTGAATAAGTATAAATGTTTAAGATAATTTTGATTTAAAACCTATGACAGGAGTGGCGTCGAAATGAAAGGCACGTAATAATACTTTACCTACTTCACTGCCATCTTGAACTAATTCCACTTTTAACAAATGTATGTTACTATTTGAATCGGAAAAATTAAACAAAACGTTTAAATAATAAAAATAAAATGTGTAATAATACTCCAAGTTTGCTCCAGATGTAATGAAGTGAATGTCTGAGCTTGCTCGTCAAATTTAGAGTTGCCTCTATATATCCTTAACTTGCTATTCGGAACAAAACGTGTGTAGGTCAAGAATACGAAGGTATGCACGAAGTCTTGGTGTATGCGATCCAACGCTGCGATATGGATTTACGGAAGGTACTTTACCAGAATATCGTTTTATCCGGTGGGTCGACCCTGTTTAAGGGCTTCGGAGACCGTCTTCTCAGTGAAGTAAAACGAAGTGGACCGAAATCGGTGAAAATACGAATTTCCGCGCCCCAGGAGAGGCTTTACTCAACATGGATCGGGTAAGTAGAATAGACCGGTGGAAGACTGACAGATTCAGTAGGATGATGACATATCAATAACATTCAACTAAACTAATTTTAAGCGCTTATTGTAAATCAAATATAATTTGGCCAGTTGAAATATACGATTCATGCAATATCGTATATAGAAATAGTTAGAAGGTAATTTTAAGGTCAGTGTAAGTTCTTAGCTAATATCTATCTGACATTTCAGAGGCTCGATCTTAGCATCACTAGACACGTTCAAGCGGATGTGGGTGTCTCGGCGAGAATATGAAGAAGATGGAGTTAAGGCACTCCATCGTAAGATATTTTAAGCATCAAATAGTATAGAAACCAACTCCTATACACGGACATACATGGCAGACATCACACAGGACTCTCGAAAAATAACGAACTGTATGCATCGTGTGGATGTTACTAGACTATTATAGAGGCCTATTGGAAACTACTGGTTCGTGGTGAGCGTTTGTAACACAATGATTTAACAAGGAAAAATTTAGTACACCGACAGTATATTTACATACAATAGTAGAAAGATAAAGCAGGTCACCCAGAGGGGGCTCATAAATCCTAATCCTGGTTAGACTCGTCCTTAATCGGAGCATCATATAAACACGAGTAGCTGTAGAGAAAAACCGTATGTATCTGTTTTCTTGTACGCCAAATAACACGTATACAGTAATTGATCGGTAAAAGCTGTGATTTATCATTACAATTAGTGTTCAAAGCTCTAATGATACTAGCATAATCATTTCTGAATATTCGATCATAAATATGGAATACAGAATCAGAGCGCGCTTTGGTGGGATCGGACTATCGATTAACTATTTAATCACAGCTAAAAGAGGATTACAGTTTCCTGTTTCACGAATATTAAATTATTGCTTACGAATTAACCAACTATTTTCTTACAATTACACACGCAGGAGAAGAGACTAAGAACGATATCAGAAAGCGCATTGAGAGTTTCTGAATGCGGTCGTGCTTGATTTGTATAAGTGAATGAAAAGGTGTTGTATGATCACGGGGCTTTAAGGCTTGACGTTGCGTTGGCAGCGTTTATGTAAATAATATTATTTATATATTTTATCTCTGCTAAATGTAAGTTATTATAATAATATAAGAAAAATAAAAAAGTGGATTGTTACGTGGCTGCGTAATTAATTTTCAATCACATACGTAATTTTTTTGGGTCCTTCAATGGGTAATCTATTTTTATTTGGCCAGAGAAATTCAGAGATTTTAAATGGAACTTGTTTTATTGTTTAGCTTGGCCATATACTATGTTTTAACTATATATACTGTGTTATATATATAAACATAGTATATATAATTATATATATATACTCTGTTTTTGAATAGGCAAAGGCATTTTTTTGCGCTGAAGGCACAACTAGCTGACTGACAGCTGACAACAGCTGACAACTGAGCTAAAGGGGCTGTAGCTTAGAGGGCGTTTCTCGGTTCTTGACGTGTGTTAACTTGTTCTCGAACGGTACATAAAAGTAGCATGTCACGGTAGTATCTAACATTATAATTTAATGATAAAAATACCGTGCCTTTATTTGATCTTCACGTAGTTTGCGAATTCGGCCGCCAATTTAGTCATTGTATTCTTTCGATATTAGTGAAAACGACCCCGACGGCCCAATTTGGTATTCTAAGCTTCTGCTGATTCTAGGAGTTGGCTACTTTAGCGTTAGTGAGTGTTCTCATACGTTATGTTTGGCACTGTGAGTTTTCTATTTGTATGGAAATCTAAATGTACGTTAAACATTCGTATGGTACTTTTAGTAAGCCCATTACTTTTCATGTGATTAATAGCTAAACAAATGGTTTAAAATATGTGATGTATTGCTGTACCATTATCTGGAACCATAATTTTAACATTCCTAAACAGTGAAACTACATCGTTAGATATTTATAAAGTTGTACCGGATATTCATCCAATTCTTCTCGATTTAATCGGTAAGGTTTAATTAGCAGAATATGCATTCGTTTGTTCGGTAAGTCCTGCGAAATCGATATGACGCCGACAGTTCTTCTATAAGGCTTTTAGACGTCATGTTTTAGCACAAATAATTTAATTAAATGGTCAATTTCCACGGCAATCTCTGTCAAGAGAGGGAGCCCAAATGAGTACCCTAATCTAACCTAGATATTCCTTATGTGATCGCAATTATTGCGAACTTAGGAATAGTGTACCGCGTGAATCGCAGAGAACTATGGGACCATTTTCCATAACCTCATGTACCCAGCGTTTATGATAACTGTTGCTATTGCGCATAAGAATAATCTATGTGACGCTGTGTACCCCTTTGTGCCGCTTATAGTAATAGTAAAATTATTTTTCTCTATCATAGACATGCTTATATATATATATATATATATAAGTTTCGTTACCTTGTAACAGACCTAAGCTGTTACTATTTTTATGAAACCAAATTAGGTGTTTCTAAAAAATACCTTATATGTACCATCTAAAAATAAATTGCCCGTTATTTGTCACGTATTTAGTTGCAGTGCTGTTTTAAAATTCAAGTTAATTTTTAGTTAAGATGTCTTGTTAAATAGGTACACACAAAATAAAGATGAATGCAAGATATTTATGTGAGCTAGACGTTATTTGTTCACTACAAAGGAAAATGTGTATAAGGCGTTAGTAAACTGAGCGCTTATATTAGAGTTTTTAGACGCCAGCCAATCTAGCAAGATGGAATGTTATCAATCTCTGGTTCGAGTCTGCAGACTCGACTGACGCTATCGAGATTTTCGTAAGTAATAGCACTAGCATTAGTTTCAACATTCTTTATATTAAATACCTAGTTATATTGCCTCTTTTATTTCAAACGAGTATTGATTATAAGACCGCACGGATATGTTCGGAGCGATAACTAAATTAGAATTATGTCAGAATAAGATAAGTGAACAGCAAGATTAACTTTTAACTTACAATTCGATACTAATCCATGCGACTGAGTAGATCTTGCCTTAAAGAGTCAAGGCAACGTCGTACCTCTATAGAAATAACTGAAATGCCGTATTACCGTGTTTACCTATAAAATATAGTTCTTACATGGTTTTATAATTCTATCAGAATACATTGTCTGCTATTTGAAATAAATAATTAGAAACAGATACCTCGTTTCGAACCAGAATTTTTTTACTAAAAGCTATAACTATTGTGTATTAGGGTACTTTAACATGCATATAGCATTTCCGCCACCGGCCTTATTCTCTAGTTTTGGTGGAGGAAATTCTAATGCATCATAATTGTGGCATATATAATATAATTATCAATTAAACACAACACAGTAAAGTACAAAACATATTTATTAAAACCCGCCTAACAAAAGATTGAAATAATGTGTAAAGACAGCACGTCTATTATGGTGATTGAATAAAGTCTTGCCTTCAATATTTTTTGATAGCTGAGCTAGTTAATTATGCTAATAAAAAATTAATTGCACGACAAATATAGGTATAGCGCGCACCTCTGTAAGACGTGTAGAAATTTTTCTTTCGATTTCGCATATAAGCCAACTTCGTAGACAAAGCTGCAAATATAGAGATTCATATTATTACATATTTCAAAAACACATAACCCATTCTGCCCGTTTCACCAGTTAAATAATATTATCTTTATTTGAGACAACACTAGTTGAGCAAATCTCGATTGGCACACGTTGCATGAAACTCTAATATTTTCTCTTGTTGTGCAGTCGTTCACTGCTTTTGCTTTAATATAAATCCCATCCTCTTTAAATAGTCCGTACCAGCACTAATACTTACCCGTTTACTAGACTCGGACTTTACAAGAGCAGTGTCAGTGCTCATTCAAATCCGTCTCAGAGTCGCGTCAGCTCAACGTTTGGAAATTTGTTTTTCAGCATTAAGTGCTTAGCCCGCGTCTGTATAGCTTCAAGCTAACGCTAAGATTCTTAGCCTCCCAATCACCTTATGACAGGGGTTAATTGTAGGTTGTAAAAGCGCAAAATGCCATTTAAGCATAGCTGTCAGTGCTAAGTGTCTCTCGCAGATTTACTTCCAAGCAAATTCTATTTCGAACCTGTTTTACTCGTAAATTGCATTTTTGGTATTATAGCAATGCGCAAGTCATATAAAATGACGAAACGATATACCGCTTTGATATATAAAAAGAGAATCTTTGTCATAACATTATTAATTTCCATTAATTTAGACAGCCGCGCCTGCTTTTGTACTAATTAATTATACTTAATAATTAATTAATTATAATTTATTTAATTAATTATACCATTAATACTGGTCACTCATAAGAAGTACCACAAGAGAAGTCCAGCCAGTGAACGGATGGCTTCCTGATCCTTTGCCCGTTTCGTCCTTATAGTTCTCCCACAAATATCCGCTTTTATGGTATTGTCGAATTACGTTCCTAACAATGTTTTGTTGAAGTTCATTGTGAAGTCTTCGCGCTTCGTTTCTATGTGGCCCGTCAATTTGTGCATAATATTTCAGTGCGCGGACTACGAGGAAATTCATATTAATCCAGATGTTTCCTCGCCAATATGGTGGATCGTGCTCAGTATTACGGGCATTATAAAGCTTGCCGTCTTTCGATAGGGACCTAAGGCCAAAGTCGGTCCACAAAAGTGTGGGATCGTCTAAGCTAGATAACATCTGTCCGAGCTGTGAGGAGTCTACCTCCAGCAAGCGCATGATTAGTGGGAAAAGGCTGACATAGCCGAATTGGTCGACAAAACGTTCAGTGGGAGCTTTGGCGGTGTATCTTAGCATCGGAAGCGACGGCTCCCCCGGTTTAGGCCTCTGACTCACCAACATCACATCATCAGTGTGCAATCCAAAGTCACTATACTGATTTCCGCTCGGCGACCAATGCTGTTTATTGAGATCGTTATTGTCTTTAAGTGCCGCAAATATTTCTTTGTATTCTTTGTAACTATCCTCCGGGAGTCCAATCCGCTCGCCGATGTCGGCGAGAACTTCTGCCATTAGTGCGACCCAGCATCGAAGGTCCAAATGTCTTTCATTATCGGTTGGATGTGAAGCTCTGGGGTAGTCGTCAAGGCCTGATGCCAATGTTTTCGGATTGAGTTCTGTGCGGATTTCCGGATTTCGACCCCTCCAACGATATGATTTAGAAATAGGCCCCTGTTGCTCGCGTTGAAAATAAGTAAAAATAGCTTTCAGGCGAGGGTAAGCGCTACTAATAAATCCGGTATCTTCTGGGATTTCGCCTCGTTTCATCATATCCAGTAACGTTTGTATGGCTAAGAACATGGTCGGTGGATTTGCATTCGTACTCTTTTGAACAATAAATTCGTTTGGCACCATGGCCCGAGCCTCATCTCCCAAGATCTGCTCCCTTGGTATCCAGCCATTTGTATTCATAAGGTCCAGCCAATGAGCGATTATATCCTTCGATATTTCGGCGTCCCAACGCGATATTAGCAGATTGTGGAAGCCTTCATCCCAGAGAAAACCTCGGGGGAAAAATGATCTTGAGGGCACTGCGGTGTACAGCGCTGCGGGCCAGTATGGCACAGTATCCCTATTATTTGGTCCTCGCACCAAGCTTTGTCCAAAGAAATACCCGATACTGCCTAGCATGTTGCTTAACGCAGCTTTCGCGACATTGATTTCCTCAATTTGAAATTTGGTCTGCAATGGAAACGTTTTATCGAACCGTTCATCAAAATCACGTCGGTACCTATGTAACTCTTTGCTGAAGACGTCGCCTTTTAACTCTTCCTCCAGATCCCTTTCAGGGTCGTTCGCCACGTTTTCAAACATAACTTCCATTGTGTAAGGCGGCACGACTGTTACCTGGTTTGAAATAAAGTTCGGTTTTCCATCAGGGTCTGTAGGAGCGAACACTGATCCTTGTACAAAAAATAGCTTAAGAGGGTAATCCTTAAGTTTTGTAGCTTTTACATTTTTCTGTATGACATCTACCACTTCGTCAGGTGAGGGTATCACCGTACTGAGGTAGCCGTATTTTATGGGCTGAGAACCGCCGCCATCAAATCTTAACCGCCAATCACCCACCTCTGGCGAACCTCCTGTCAATGCTTCCACGCGTGTTTTATCAACGATATCCAGACTGAGATTGTGAGATCGAAAATCAGCCATGGCATAGAAGAAAAGAGACATCGGCTCCGGCTTTTTTTGTGGTTTTGGCGGGTCAGGCGAAATATTTTCTACCGATATTCGCGCTGTCCACTCTCCACCTTTCTCGCCTGGTCGCTTTACAAACGATGTGGTAATGTTCAAATCTCCATCAATGATGACTTGTTCACCGAAATGAACACCATCGTGTCTCAGCCACGTGTACTTCTGCAAACCATCTCTTTGTGAGCACCAATGGCGGATGTTAAGGTTATTTCCTCGAGGTTTCTGGTTAAACCACATGAGTCCGAAGTTCACCGGATCACGATGGCGATTTTTCATGCCTGCAATTCAGATCCGCAGTTCTAGTTATTTTAATGTTTAAATATTAATAAAAATATGACACTGGTTTAGACAGCTAAATTTTAAAATAGAAAAACTAGAAACTGAAATCCAGATCTGTTCTCCGGCGGCTCTTTTAAGTCAGGACATATTTCCGAATGTAAGAATATCGATGTCTGCGTTTGGTTTGAGATTTATAGATAAACCTACACAGGTATATACACATATATATAAACGATTAGAATATTTATTCCCAATGCCATCAATAGTTAAAGACTCTTTTGCAATAAAACGGTGTCCATCAAACGCAAACATCGATACTCTTACATTCAAATATAGACTTTGACCTTAAACATAACATGCTTTTGAAAGCATTTTTAAATTCGAATTTCTTTTACTATAAATGCTACGTATTACTCTGCTAACTATGACAGGCAACGGCGGCTCAGCTCGATTAAGCTATACTAAATTAAAATTATAAGTTTTTTAAATAGTACAATAACGTATTGCGTATGATTCATACCGAAGTACAGCTGCGAACGATAGGTGCCCCAATATCTATTCGGAACGTCAAGGCCAGCCTTCGAGACCATCTTAGGCGAATCCAACGGTGTCACTATCTCGCTTTGAAGTTTGTGTAAGTGCCATACGTAGCCTAGCACACATATTAGTAGTGAGATATTGAACACGATGAACATCTTAAATTTGTTGTCAAAGAGACCGGAGTCTTTGAGCTTTAGCTCCCGCCGCCGCAAAGATGACGGTGAGCAGGTGTGGTTGCTTTCTATAGCAGCCCTGCTAGGCTTAAGCCGAGTCATTCCTCTACCGGGAGCTGAAAGTCAGTTACATGGAAAAATCAGTTAGTGGGAGGAGAGTCAACAGGGTGCCGTATGTCACGCTGCGGAAACAATAAAGAACCAAATAAGATGATGAACCACTTGCGTTGCATATTTAAGCTGCCTTGTCTAACATTAATAATGTAATAAAAACAATTTAATACAAATACAATGGTGATAAAATAAATTCTTATAATTGTGATATATATACTCCCTTGTATAAACAAAGGTGCTTTTCAGTTCAGTTCGGTACTATGATGATGTAACTTGAACATAAAAGGTAGCAAAGAAGAGCTCAATGTAAGATAAAGCTCTTTATTTGGGTAACTACGAAAGAAGTATGTCATTTTACAAGTCATAGAAAAACTGTTCAGGGCAGAGAGATCCAAAACAGGTTAGAGACGTCATGGAAGGATATCATTTGCTTGATATTTGTACAAATAATAGTTAGTGTCTTGAACAGCACCTCAGATCGCAGTATTACAAATCTGACTGAGGTGCATGTAGATTCTCTGTCGTTATTTACGTAAAATGAGATGAACATACTCTTGCTTTTCCTAAATTTTATTCGAATCAATTAGTCAAGGAAATAAGGTACAACGTCAACAAAATGATGCCTAGTGTAAATAAAAGCAGAAAACTAGATTTTGAAGTTATACTATAAAAAAGACATTCACTTGGCTCTGTAGCCAACAGACGTTTACATATATTACCTTAAGTAGTTAAGATACCGTATTGGGAATAGTGAGGTTAGAGCAAAATTGACACTAATATCTATTATATATTTTTACGGTCCACGTACAATGCAAATTAAAATGGATCAAAGGTAAAGCTGATACTCTGCAGCTTTGATAAAACCAGATTGCCGTGACAAATGTCTAATATTTTTCTCTCAAATACGAGAAAACACAACGCATTTATTTATTATATACATATAGTATATATATCTACTATATATCTACTATACTGTTTCCTGTTATTGTATACCCGTTTTCGAACAATCCCAAATAAACCACATAAACCACATAAAAACAAGAACAACGGAGGTTGACGTTTTCCTAACATACATGTATTTTCCCGCTCTCCTTTTACACACAGTAAACCCTACAAATGACGTGCGATGTACTTTCGTTGATCAACTCATCTGGCACGTTTGCTGTCTCCATATAAAACTCACTGTTATTTGTACACTCCCCAAAGTAACGCTGTGTTATTAATATCCAGTCGGAATTATCCGCGGTAAGAAATCTCGCTCAATATTCCACAGTGCTAACCACCCTCTCAGGGGTACAAGTCCCTCTCATTTACTACGTAAACACAAGAACGAGCCAGAGGTTCCCGTCCACCGGCCTGAGCTGCAGTAGTGCAACATCGAATAACACCGAATTCTGTTCGAGTTCCGAATTCGAAACTGTTTTCAGCTTTCTTTGCAGAAAATCATTTCAGTTAGGTAAGTTTGTCTCTAATAATTAATGCACTCCTAGGCACTGAAGCACTTGTAATAATATACAACGACGACACCAACATAACTTCACTCAGTGCAAAAGCGAAGCTCCGGCAGCACTTCTGTTCGAAATCTTTGTAAGTGTCTCATGCAAGCATAGCTTCGAAACATCCATTTCACGTCTGCATCGGTTGGGCGCCGCAAATGACAATATTTCGAAGTATAGGCCTCGTACAATCCGCCTCACGCAGCCCGCGACTTTAAATATTTGACCCCTTGATTTCTACCGACAGTTCAGGTGAAGCAGAAGAGGTGCCTCAAGAAAGGGCAGGCGTCGATTGAGGTACTCTACATACTTGCCGATAAAAAGAAGTTGATACTGCATCAGCGTGTGGAGCTCGTTATTTTGGTAAATAGTTGATATTTTTCTAGGTGCAAGTACCCATGTTTTTTTTTTCGTAGCAATGTATACTTCTTTTAAAGTAGTTACAAATGCAAAAGCAACTCCCTCGGTACTTCTGAGTATTCGGCTACAAGCAGAACCGTAATATAGATTTTTCTATTCGCATATCCTGCTCAACTTTTTAACTATTAGTTGCACTGCTTTGATTACTGACAAAGCCGTAAGAAAGATTCGGAGTAAAGTCGGTGAGCCTATGTGAAAACAATAAATACTAGTGTCTTGTCACAATTTACAAGTTTGGCTATGCAACGTGAACATTCTTTATGCTGATGTGTTAAGGAAACATAATGCTTGGTGGATTTTAAAAGCCACAAAATCAGGTAACAAGACTGTTGAGTGAAACATTTTGGTATATCAGCGTGTAAATATTCATTGTATTTCAAATCTAGAAATGTGCAATAAGCTTGCATTTGGAAATCTGAAACTAACCGAGAATTTCCGTCATTAATATTTACAGGGCGTACAGGGAAAAATTATGGAATCTTATGAAATGTACTTTTATTAGAAAGGTAGCATGAACAGTCTCCGATTGGTATAAAAGAATAGAGTTTAAGCCACTGTTCGTTTCCTACAAACATGTCAAATTGGTTGAGGATTTGTGTGAATCTGCGTTTGTCGGGTGAACCAACTAACTTTTTGACCTTAAAATCTTCAGTTATGTAATTATGTTCAGACGTTAATAAACAGCCTAACTGTAGCCCGATCTTTGGAGCCTTGAGTGCAAAGGCTGTCGAAGCGGTCGCACTAGCCCTAGATATGCTAAGCGATAATAGGCTATTGAGAATTTTTGAGCGATTAGTATTAATAACCTGTGCTTCTCTGTTACCGAAATCTTTAATACGCACTGGTTGGCGATTTTTCTAACGATCTCTGTGCAAAAATACATAATAAAATGGCTATAAACGTCCCGTAAGCATTTATAATAGAGGTTCTTAGATAGTTTTGGACGCCCGAATATGAGTTCATTGTGATCCAATCAGATTTGCGATTCAATACATATGTGACACAGTGATATCTAAACATTTTGTATCGTCAACTGCTTTGCTCGCTTTCAAAGTATTCCAAATCACTTTTTGCTTAGGTTATTGGACACATAAAAGTAGGCTGCAGAGAAATCGTGATTCGTTTAACTTATTAAAATTAGAGTTGCCAATTTATTGCATTTTTACTTAAGCTAAATGTTTTCTTAGAGTAACGAAATAAGTTCACATGTTTCACAGGTTAAATCCATACTTTTGTCGAACAGCCCGTTGTTTAATAGGTTGTAGGCTTCACAGCTTCTCCTAGCATAGCTCACATCTAAGGGACGAAGAGATGGCCTCCGATAAGCTGCACTCCTCTCAAGGCTCTATACTGGTGGAAAGCGCCCGACATATGGAGGTTCCTTCGCAGGCAAGCAGTTGTAAGTGGAGCACGTGTTTGCAAAAATAATATTCGAGTACAGAAGGCAAGATCTACAACATTTTCGTCACAGTTTGTGTCACACAACTTTCGTAATCATCAGGGTATACATAAATTGCCGTACTTATTCGTTTTGATTAGGTTGTTACCCCGTAAAACTTGTTTAATCAGAACTTACAACTTAGGATTTCATTTAGTTTTATATTTGTTACCAGAGAACTACCCGTCTTGATAATAAACGTAAATGGGTAACACCTAATGTTGACCCGAAACCAAAAGAACGGTTTCTATATCTCCATAGGAGAAGTATTTCGAACGTCATTTGTAAAATTTTACGTTGTTCTATTGCATTTTCAGTTTTCCTTGAAAAGTCGAACGAAATGCCCCAGTCGGAAGTACCACGAGACCAGCAAACGGCTTTATGGCAGCAGAATTCTTATCTAGATCATGGAAATATCGGCTCGGGAACAGACTCTGGTATTCAGAGTGCCGGACCTGTATCTACTGTAGGAACTGGCGCTGATGACGAAATGTTTTGCGATTGGGATAGCCAAAGTTCAACAGGAGACTTCTGCAATGGTTATGGAGTAACCTCCGGTACTGTCGAGCAAACCAATAATACAGTTGAAGAAAGAATTGCTTCTCAAAATCAACAAATTGTACAAGGTAACCGCACGCCTAATTTCCCAGCGCCCTTCAACTCTACGCTTACTAGCCAGTTCAATCCAAACGAATCTACGGTGGCGCAGAGGTTACCCGAATCATGGCGAGTGTCGCGTAACGCTGTCGATAATCTAAAAGATTACCAAGGCGATGCCGACATTGCCAAATCGGTTCCGCATCTAGCAAATCTACTGAATGATGAAGACCATGTTGTGGTTTCGCAAGCAGCAGCCGTTGTCTACCAGCTATCGAAACAAGAAGGCTACCGTCATGCTATTCAGAACTCCAACCAGATGATGAGATCCCTTATAAATGTCATGATCTCTTCAAATGATCCAGATACGATGCGCTTTACTACGGGAACATTGCAAAATCTTTCACAGCATCGACAAGGCTTATCTGCCATTTTCACATCTGGCGGCATTCCTGCTCTTGTCAGATTGCTAGCGTCCCCTGTAGAAACCGTGCTTTTCTATGCTATTACCGCTCTTCACAATTTACTTCTTCACCAAGACGGCAGTAAGGAGGTTGTCCAGCAAGCTGGAGGACTCCAACAGCTTGTATGTTTGCTGCAAAGAACCAACGTGAAGTTCCTCGCGGTTGTGACGGACTGTCTACAAATACTCGCCTATGGTAATCAGGAGGCCAAGTTGACGATCTTAGCGTCTGGAGGACCCACTGCTCTTATAAGAATATTAGAACGTTATAACTACGATAAGTTACTGTTAACTACTACTCGAGTGCTAAAGGTGCGGATTTTGGGCTATGTTTAAACACAGTCTTTTTGAAGCTTCTTAAAATAATTGGAGAGAATTAAGTTCGAGCAGTATTCCGATGTAACTGATTTCGAAAATAAATATCAGTCTGTAGAACGGTCAACAAAGATAAACATAAAAGGCATAAGAACGTATTTAATTAGCTCAACATGGAGTCGTCACACGTTCATCATGATAAAATGTTGTGGAATGATGCAAAGGTTTCATTAAATAATAATCACGTTTTTGTCAATGAACGACAAATGAACGACATTATAGGTGTTGTCCGTGTGTTCGTCAAACAAGCCGGCCATCATTGACGCCAACGGTGTGCAAGCGTTATCTAAGCATTTAAAACATGCTTCTCAACAAATTGTATTGAATTGCCTGTGGACTATCCGTAACCTTTCCGACGCACTGCTTCGTCAGGTATAGATCGCCAATTATGCACACACACTACGTGTGCCTATGGCCTTACCGTTTTATAATTCCTAGGTATACCTGTGTAATTTGCCTGTGTTGTCATAGGTAAAGATAGAGAAGAACACCGTCTGATAACCAAAGCAATCGATTGACAAGTACGTTTGCCTCATAAAATAGAATTGTCCATCTTTATTGTCTAGGTGAGCATTTCCTTAATTATCATATTTACTTTATACTAATACAAGTAGTCCCGTTATATCTGATGTTGATGTCTATTGATTGTGTGATTTACTATGGAACAATGTGCAGGATAATGTGGAAGAGTTACTTCAAAATCTTATCGAGTTACTCGGCTCACCTAAAAAGGACGTGGTAACATGCGCTGCCGGCATTTTGTCAAACCTCACGTGCAACAATCAGAGAAACAAGTCACTTGTCTACGGCATGAGAGGGTGCCAAGCGCTAGTAAATGCAGTGATGAATGCTAACGATCGTCAAGAGATCATTGAGCCTGCTGTTTGTGCTCTGCGCCACCTAACATGCCGCCATCCCGAGGCTGAACTCGCTCAGAAAGTAGTTCGTGGATCTTATGGTCTGTTTATCAAGTTGCTGCATCCACCTTATACGTGGGCAGTCGTGAAGGCCGCCATCGGATTCATACGCAATCTCGCTTCATATAGCGATAATCATGGCGATTTGCAGAAAAATGGTACTATCGAACGCCTTATCAGTATCTTGCGCAAGGCCTTCGAGGATATGACGGCAAGTCGCGTAAATGGGGGATCCGTACCTCAGTGGGACGGCGTCACTATGGCTGATATTGTCGAGGCGGTTAGTGGAACCCTGCTCCTTTTCGTAAAAGAGCCCAGAAACCGTCCTATGCTACGCTCTATGCGTGTTACTCCTGTGTTTGTGCAACTTCTCTATTCGGACATAGAAAGTATACAGCGGGTTGCTGCAAGCTTCCTCTGTGAGTTTGCGTCGGACAGAGAAGGGGCTCATCAAATTGACGCCGACGGGGCCACAGGCCTGCTAAACGAACTAATGATCTGCCGACACGATGTGGCTTGTAAGTACATTTAGTGGCAGGAAATCAGACAAAGAACCTAGCTTGTTTTGTAAATTGCTCCACCCAAAATTATTTGTTATTATAAACTTAGTTTTGAGATTAATAAATAGCGGTATCTAAAGGTTTGGTTTATTGAAAATTGCTATGTCCAAATCAAAAATATCAAAAAAAGAAACTTTAGAGCTTTTCGTAATGAACGGTATCTTCTTCTTTGCAGCACGGTATGCGAGCGAAATTCTGTCTCGCATCTCTCATAGCAAAACATATACATATGGAAAAATTCCGAGCGTGGGCGGAGAGAAACCTACGCCTTGTGGTGCTCAGGATACTCGTCAGTCAGCCGAGCAGGATCCAATGGATATTGAAATAGATTTTTACACTAATCCTTCCCAAATATATCGTGGCCCACCACACCCTCCTACTGAAGAATTCCAAAATCCGATTCGCAACCAGCATCAACACACGTATACTGCTAACAGCTCAAACATTAGGAACTATTCGACCAAAAGTAAGAGTCCCCTTCTTTTTCATCTAATCTGATGAGGACTATTAGATTGAAAAATATTCCGATAAAGCTTGCATCGATTGCTTCTCCGAAAGTTCCTATTTAATAGCCTATTTATAGGAACATCGTGGCATAATTGTCATAGAACCGTTACATACAATATTTTAGGGTGCACAGTAGACTATAGTAGTGGCTAGCTCCTGTATCGCGGCATCCTGCTATTGTCTGCCATCTTAGCACTCTTGGGTTAAACTATACCTATTATTGTGTAAGTAATTGCGTCCATTAGATAAGTAATTAACGTAAATGCATGTATGAGTTAAGCCGAATCAGCGCAATCAGCTGCCACACTTAATGTGGCTCTGTTTAATGGTCATTACAGATACTTGGGATAACTGAGCTAGAAGCTAGGTCGCGGAAGCAGCTGAGCTCAATGCACATGACTGTTTATGGGTTGCGTTTACATTCTCGAACAACTCTCAAATGGGCTACCAACACTTTGATACAGTCAAAGGTTTCTGGTGTGTCCCCCCTTCGCCTCCCCTCAAAATCTAACTTGAGAGACTTTTTAAAGTCACCTAGTTGGTACGTATGATGCACAGCAGTATTTTCAGAAATTGTTTTCAAAAACGTGTGCTGTACATCAGTTTGCGATTGGCAAAAGCAAACTGAGATCTCATAATAGTGTTGTTTTTAGATATAACAAATTGCAGAGGACAGGAGTTCGGAGAATAAAAGCCCCGACAGGAAATTTGTAACAACCTGATAGTACATTTGTTTCTCTTTTTCTGTCCTAACCTCAGTCTAATCTAATCGGTCAGTAGGCGCGAGGAAAGCAAGATACGATTTTTTTTTGTTTATCTATCTGTGAATTCAATTCTTTTTCACTATTCATATGTAAAAACACTGTTACCGCTTAACCGCTCGTATAAATTTAGTGTGTGTTTTTCATATACGGAGCCGCTAACTTGCTCACCTCGCTAATATTATCACACAAAACATGTATCGAAATACAGATGGCGGAACACATCCGCGGTACTTTCAAGGTAATGCTTTAATAAAGTATAGATTAAAGCCGAATCCTTTTTTCTATCTGTTCTATGACAAGTACGTCGCCACAATGCAATCATTCACGTTTAATCACTATATCTATTACATTATATTTACTTGTATACTTGTATTTAATACACTCAAAAAGCATCACAATAAAGTCAATTTCTTAACGCCTAGAGCTATTATTCGTTGTTGTTGTAGTCTATACAACCTTACGACATGAAGACGGTACATTTCTATTGCAATCACTCTGGCAACCCAGAGGGCTTTATGCCCGGACAGTCGGTAGCGGAGTTCTAGTACGCCACCTGATTAATCGTCAGCGTCGGAAAAAGCACAGGCTCCGGTTAGAACAGTACTGTCATCTAAACCTAACCTAACCTATAGTTTGAATGGCTTGAGGTCTTGAGTAGAGGTACCCCGCAGCGTACCCTAGCCTGCCGTATCCGAACGCATCAGCTGCCGAACGAATGCTTTACAACGGAAAAAGTACCTGCAGATGCGCTGCAGAGAAAAATGAGCTATGGATAATACAGCGCAGCTTCACCGCATGTCCGACGTTTGATGCGGCACCTCGCGCAATTCGATCACTGACCACCACGGTGATTATGAAAGACGCACAGAGCGCGATTGAGTATCATCTACTTGGACGGCAGTTTCAATGCAAGCTTCGAAAGGCTTCAATGGTAGCTTCGAAAGCCAATTAGGCAGCCGGCTCAAACGGACTTCGCAATGAGCACCCCTTAAAAACATTCTAAGTCTAACCCCTGGCTCAATGGCGTTTTTCAGCGGATTTCAGTTGGCCGGCTCAAGCTGACCCTACTTGACGGAGAGATGTTAGTCTAGATGACTCCAAAAACAAAAAGAAAGCTAACTTGCAGAACACTTAGCTGAAACGTTTACTAGGTCATTGCCGTATGACAACAAACCGACTTATTTATCTGCTCGCCAACCACCTCGCTTATCAAAGATCTGCGGTTAGTTTTCAGACTCCTAGTTACCGACGCCACTTCCATGTGAAAAGTCCAAAAAAAACTGTTGATGGGATATATGATAAAATGGAAGAAGAAGTTGGCCGAGATCGCTTCAGAGTGCTCAACGTTGGATCGATAAGAGGCGGCGCGTAAAAAGAACACGAGCCGATTCATTTTGCTCTAAAGTGAAGACAGTTTATAACATATGTTGGCACTGCTTTGACAGAAGCTACGTGATCTCCAGTAGATAAGTTATAAGAAAACAGATAATCTTTACTTGCCATATGTATCTTCGCTCTTACGGATTCGTATACATGGAACGAAGTAGAATTATAAATAATTCTGCTCAGCGGTAAAATACTTATTAGTGAATTCTATAATTGTCTAACGAGGTGTAAACAAAATCGGTATCCTGGGAGTTTGATTACTGGTCATCTATATCCGACTAAGTTCCAATCAAAAACATACTGCACTGAAGTTATCCAGTTTGGAATTTCAAGTGTGATTTATATCGTACAGCAAAAGAATGTTACGGGATCAAGCAAAGTATCATCGCTTGCATAACGTGTTAAAGCGTTATATTATGTACCTATTTTCGACATAGAATTGATCTATAGAAACAAACACAAGTATACCCCTTATGCTTTAAAATCACGTTTAGTGCCATATTTTCTCCTGCTTTAAATAACAGTTTTTATAAACACTACTCAGAAAAGGAAGCTGCGAATATGCAGAACTAGTGAGGTCGATGTCCGCCTTCCGCAGTCGCTCTCGGCTGTTGACGTGGCAACAAAGTAGCTTATTCACGAACTGTGAAACGTACACAATGATCCAACAATATATAAACTAGAAGGCAGATCGCGTTGAAAGTTCTTTTTGAGCATCTGCAGAAGCAGTGTCCTGTTTCCTGTGCAATAAGAACTATTCGTAGAAAATGTATTTCTATTGCCCTTGGGCAATCAGTAACCTAGATATTTCTTATGAATTTAAAAGTTGTGGTGCTACAGTCAGCATTACCGTCGAAAACAACGATCCTTCCGCTATTCACCGATAATCTCATGCATTTAAGATAAATAAGATGTAAGTACACAACAGCCTTTGGTACTTTTTCTATAATACTTTTAATCATTCTCTCTGGCCGAGTTTTCGTTGTGATTAAAACAACCTCCGTCGCCAAATGAAGCTTCCTACAGTTGAGGTTCGGCTTGCGGCCATTTTTGTTCGCTCATGCATTTCTGATTCATTTTCGTTCAGTAACTTACTTTTCTTACGGGAGTCAATACTATCTTATTCCAGCCCCACAAGATTTCAAGAATTGTTTTAGAAAAAATAATTTTACCACCACCACAGCAAGAGTATGTCACGCCTTAATGTGAAATAAACAACTGGCAAGTGAGGAAATATACAACATTTATTGTTCAACTTTTACTCTGCTATACCCGCCGTGTTAATTTCATATAAATAGTCCATATAACACATTTTTACATCTATATATAAATATATTTATACAACTAGAACAATCATCATACGCGAAAATTTCCTTATCCTAGCGGATAAATGGTGACGGCTATGTGTTGCGTCCTAAAAATTTCTGCGAGTCACTCGTATCTTTACGCAGGACCAATCATCATACGTCACGTAAAATTCACCAATATATTCACTCATCAGTATCACCATCTACTATTTTACTTATCATTCTGGTACAGTAATTGATGTACACGCATTCGGTGCCCCGCTGATATAGTTCAAGTTTAAAATATACTCTGAAATGATTTAACAATCGCTAATTACTCTGATATGAATCACTTGTTGCAATATATGTATATATTAGTATGCGTTCACAAAGAGAACTGTGCCTTTCATTTACAAAAAAAAAAAAAAAATCAGGTGCTTACTGTAGATAAACTGTGATATGTTTCTTACTCCCGCATGTTGTAGATAGCGCCATAGGGAGGCCAGCTGTTCGTACGTTTCATATAGAGAACGCTTGTAATAGGTTCGCCTGTTTGAAGCCATAGATTACTCTGCATGAACTGATGCAAAGGCCTATTATGAATATTTAATATTTTGACAAGAAAAATGCTCAATGTGGAGATAAGTTGTACTTGAAATAGCGAGTCGTAGCAAAGCAGGAATTTATCAAGCCCTACATTTTTCTAAACCTCCCTGTGCGCCTAATGTACACTTGTTGTACGCTGCTATATACGTTTGATGTTCATAATATAGTAAACTAATAGGTGATTCACTATGAACAGTCTCTGGTGTTTTTCGAACGCTTAAACATTCAAATGCTAGTTAATTAATGTATTCTTTGAATAGTGATGATACTTAGCGACAATTCAGAAAAACTGTTATTAAACAGCGTACTTGCGTACTACAGTGGAGGTTAAAATCTTGTTGGTCAGAGTTCCGTGGGAACCTATGAACTCTTATCGCACGGAACATCGATAACCACTACTATAGTTAAGTGCGCACAAGTAGCAGAAACTATCGATGTTGTTGAAACGCGTCTGCGCAAAGCTGCTGTAAGTACTCTTGGTCAGAAATAAAAATAGTGAAAACCTGTAAAGGTACGACCAGATTCTTAGTCAACTGTTCTTGAGTTAGATATCAGCGCATCCTTTCAAGAGGTTGTGGTCGAAATAAGAAGTCGGAAGCAAGCCGGAAAACCTAGCTAAAGACATACATATCGCAGTCAAATACAGCATCATATTGGCACTGGCGTAAATATTTCGGAGACCTACATTTTGCAGATTTTATTGCCACACTTAGCTCTAATCGCTTCGGCTAAAACGAAAATAAAGAAACGGTCAAGAACACGATTACCCTGGAACTAACACTTCTGTTGTAATCGCCAAGAAGAGGGCCATTCGTAAACAATGTCAGAACAAAAAAAGTAGGAGAAATGTTCTTCGAAACGGTCTCGGCCTAAAAAAATTAGGCTGCGAGCAAATAACACATGTTTTCTTGCGTGCCCTCCGCATGGGCTCCGAAAGCATATAAATGGGAACGCACGACTGCAAAAGAGCTGAACTTTGAAGGCTCGGCAAATGACAGATCACGTGTAATCTGTTAAAAATAGGCCGAAAACGTCCTTCTCATCAGTGTGAAGAATGTATTCCGCTTACTAAAACATCTCGGATCGACAGGAATTTCATGGCGCAAGCAGACGTACGGAGCGTGAAAGAGCGTTGCATGTGTAAACAACCAAACCTGGAGGCAAGACGTGCTTGCTCATCAGCGTACATTTATCTCAAAATTCAATTCGTAAAAATTAGAAGAATATATATTGGTTATAACTTCGAATGCTAATGCCATCACGAAGATCATCAGTGAAGTCGACGCTGAAATAATGCTGTCGTATTCTTGTTTCATCATATCTGTCGAAGTATTCGTGTTTTTACTTGTAAAGAGTAGAACATGGGACAATTATGAAACAGGAAAAGCTGATTCATGTACACATCAAGATAAGTCGTTCACACTCCAGGCAAGCGAATCAACCACGTATGAAGCCTCAGGCTACAACTTTGCCATACACGTCTATAAATGGTAACTTATATTCCATAAAACATAAATGCAACATTACCCTAAGGTAGAAGATTATAAATTACACGGCATATTACTGATCACATGGTAAGCAATGTGTTTTTCTAGCTAGAAACACACATGTGTCCGATAGATACTCTCGTGAAGTCACCTGACATATCTATTTATAGTATATGTTACGAGTCATGTAACCGCGTAACACGCCGGTTGATGTACGATTACACTAAACGTTTTGAGTTTTAGGTCCGTTGCCGCCGTTAGGCGTTACATACGGCTGGTTCCCAGCACGAAACGAACTGTGTATCTACGCCCGATTCAACCGCAGACAACCACGTCATTCTTAGGTTTAGCAGGAAGATACACTACCCGTTACGCCATCACGTAAACCGAATCTGAATCCGGGTGTAGGCGCGCTTCGTTCGAAGCCAGCCATTAAGTGTGCGCCTAATGAAGGTACTAAACGCTGAACTCGTAACGCCTAAATATACGATTACACCTGTAAGTTATCATTTACACATTTTAATTTGCTAACTGCTATCCAAGTGCTGAAGTGAGGGCGCTGGCGAAAGACAACAATTTAAAATTGTCCCATTTCCTGCTACTTTAACACCTGCTCTAAAAATTAGCATATGTTCATCAGTATCTAATTGCTTCTTCTCTTTGCAGCGGCTGTATATCTACACGATGCTTTCCCTATCTCTATGGGTACAATTATTATTGAGGTTAAGTATCTCGTTGACAGCCTTTTTGAATCTTGTTGTTCTTGGACGAAAACCCTGTTCGACCGCTCCAGTGCCGTCGCGATTTTTCGTCGCCAGCTCGTCGTCGAAGGACCTCCAGCGTTTAGCTAAACTATCCTTCCTTCTGTCCTGTTGATGATAGTCCGGACTTGATCCAACGTGTCGAGAGATGTCTGGCCATGCGGACCGTTGCAAGTTAACAACATCGCTAGAATCGCACGGCGACGGTGTCCTTTGTTGAAGAAGTGGCCTCGAGCTCTCGTCTACGGGTAGCGCAAGCAGATAAGACGGGTGCTTGGCGCCTGGGGAGATGGGTGCCGGCCAACAGGACATAAGCCAACGCCCCATGCCAACCACGTATGGCCGATTAACAGAGGGGATATGAGTTAGTCAGCTGTGCATCAAATGGACTCTAGATTCACGCATATAGCATTATCACAGACCATGTACGGGTTTGGCGAATTTAAGGTTGTGAGGGTTGATGCGTACAGTTGAATGTGCATATAGATTCGATGAGAGGTATTTGGAAATGATAAAACGTGTTAGTTCGAGGAAGTTTATGATTCGATAGAGGAATTGTAAATGTGGGAATAGACGAGTAGGTAGGAACGAAGTAGCGAAAGGCGGACGCAAATGAAAACCATTAGCGACAGAGCAATACACAAAGGAAAGCAAAAGAAAAACAGAAAAGTTTAATTAAATAGTTGCTCAAATTTTCGGGGAGCTGTTCCACAATGCGTACATGTTCACTAATTCAGGTAACGAGAGCGATCCTAACTAAGAATAATAGATACAGTAGGTTTGAAATACGGAGGGTGGTCTTTCTCCGGCTGTTCGAACGAAAATTTCCTTAAAAGCAGGTAATTATAAATTAAATAATTATTTAGATACCTTCAGTTTTAGAGATAAAAACTTCGGGATCTATATTAGAAATAAGATAATAAACATGTCTGATGTATGGTTTTTAACCGCTTCGCATTTCTTTCCATTTTTGATTTGCTATTTCAAAGATATCTGCCTCAACATGGAACAGTGTTATCTCTTTGTACCTATAAATTTATGGTTGATTTTTTGTCTGTTTTACCTAATACACACTTCAACGTACATATGCCCAATTCAAAAAGCGAAAGCAATGATTTTATCCAATTTAGATGTACATACTTATACTGCTTATACTTATCTGTTATTTATATTGAGTTTGAAGGTCGGATGTTTTCACTATATGCTATTCGATAAAGTAGATTTGTCAGTGATCATGTTCTTTTGTGTCTGACACCGTAATGCACCTTAAGCAAGCGTGCGTGACGAATTTACACGAGGATATATATTTATTGGAAAAATTCAAATAACAGTAGCGGTAAGTGTAACTGATCACAAGTGTAGGACCTACTGTGTTTGGGCTTAGTCAAAATAAAAGATTTTCCATACCACCTATAGATAACATCTGTGATTATGAAAGTATTTGTATTGAGCATTCTTTCGGTGCTAACCATTTCTCCTAGTGAGGACAATATTTGTCGAATTCATATGATCCGGTGCTGCGATTGCGTTACTTAGTGACCCATTGCCCCGGAAGGACCCGACACCGACGTTCGTATCCGTAAAATTGAGAAGGTTGTTTTTGGTATGGAACGAAATTCCGTTATCATCGTCGGTCTCGTTATATTCATTAGCGTGCGGTAGTACGGGTCCAGGATCCGCGTTGTCCAGTAGACAAGAATTCGAATAATCGTCGCTAATGCTTGGGCCAGTTGGTGGTCGCCGATCTTTGCACATCAAACCAGCCTGAAGGCCGGCAAACAGCGGGGGTGTGTTGATGAATTTAGATTGATGGAGCTTCACTTGTGATGGCCTGAAAAAAATATTGGCAATAGTAAAATGGTACGTCATAAAAAATATTGTCATTCGTTTTAAAAGAAGCTTCACTCGACGTGTCTTCAAAGAACGCCTATTTTAAATAGCCATACACTTTATTGCGATAAGGAGTACCGTTTCTGAATAAGGCAGTTGTTGGGATGGGTCCTGGCAGATTTAGCTCCCCCATTCGGAAGCAGAGGTGCAGGTAGATGGGTAGACAAGACAGATGTATCCCCAGAATCTGTGATGGGTATAAGGGATTGTCTTCTGCCGGGAGTTCCTGCTGTCTGTTCCCCTTGCGGTTCGTTGAATAGGGGCGTCAGCGGTATAGAAGACTGCTCTTTTCGGCGTGATGGACCACTCTTGTGACCCTTTAGCCAGTATGTAAGTTGTTCGCCTTTGCCCTACAAGGAATCAGTTGGAATCTTTGGGGTTACTCTTTTATTGAACAAGTATATATATACATATATATATATATATATACATATATATGTGTCTTTAAAATAGTGTGGAAGGGGTGTTACAGTAATCAATATATAATAAAGTTCCATCCTATAAGTGTCGTCAGACTCACTTTCATTTTCACCATTCCGCGTCGTTCGACAAAGAAGCCTCCAATGGAATCCAAGACAGTTTTTGTCTGAGAACTTACATGAATTCTCAAAGCTTCTCCATTGGATTCCATTCGTGATGCGGTATTCACGGTATCTCCAAACAGACAATACCGTGGCATTGTGAGGCCAACTACTCCTGATACTACTGGGCCTAGGAAAGCGACGGTCGATGCAAAATATTAAGTGAGAGTATTTTGAGTTGCGTGTGTAAAAATTTGATGCTTATAGAGGTACTTTTCATTTAATTTTCACCGAGTGTAACCTTTTCAGTATTAATTAATAATAAAAATCAACTTATAGTATCAAACAAATGCATAAAAATAATTTGCAAATATAGCGGACTATTTCAATAAGGAAGCGAAGCATTAAAAAAAAAAAAAAAAATATATATATATATATATATATATATTTTCTAATATTTTCGAAAAATGTTCTTAATATGCATGCTTCACCTTGATCTTTAAAAGTCTTTATATTGTGAAAAGATTACTTGAAATCGTTTATGTTAATAAATGTCTCCATCATTGAAAAATCTTTGCTAATTTGATCTTACCTACAATGAGGAATGGTTTTCTAAGAGTATTTTGCTTATTTCTCGAGAAATATTATTTGCACTGGTCGCTTGTATTTAAAAACTTAAAGACGCACGTACATTGAAATACTTTCAGAGTTTTTCCGAGGTTGCTAAAATAATCGTCGATAAAAACTACGTTTTGCACTGGCGGCCCTGTGGGTATGCATAAAACTTACCTTCTCTAACGCGATAACCAATCTATATCTACAAATGAAAATGCGACAAACCTTGGATAAAGAGCAATTCAATTATTAAAAAGCTTTAAATGTACCAAGTGAAGATTACATTACACGTTAAAATTAAAAGAAACAAATAGCCTCCTCCTCGCAGTCAAAAAAAAAATTGAGCATCATACATTTCTACAACGGTGTATGCTTTCTTGTATTATTTTCTGTCATTTTAATCTGGCCACTGCTAATTGCGGTCTGTTGTAACGATAGAAGCACTTTTGAAAGTGAAAGACTCGGTCGAGATCAGCCTTTAGGTAGAAAACTGATATAAGGAGTATTGCAAATTTAAATGAATAATTTTCTCGAGCACATCTATCATAAATAAATTCAGGTATGAAATATAGTACTAGTATGGGTTCAATGGCAAATCATTTACACAGAATAATAGAAATGAACGACCTTAACAAACAAACAAACACGACAGAATTTAACAGCGCTGTTATGGAACAGGAGCTAAGGTGTCTGTACGCTAACTGATCGTAAACAGCGTCTTCATAAAAGATTTTCTAGAGAGACTCCGTCCAATAAAGGAGAATTCTTAGTGGTTGTTGCGAAATAACAAAAAAATCCAGTTCGTAGTGAAAATTTAATGAAGGTGTATACATTAAGGATAGAGCAAGTGTTTCGCTTTAATGTATACACGCTGAATGAACCAGTGAATTGTGCTAAATTTTCCTTGGGGAAAACCATACTCAAAACGTTCGAAGGTCCACTCAAACTGAAAGCAATCTCTTTGACTACGGTAATTTTCCACAGATTTTGACATCAAATAATGAAATCACTTTTTCATGTTACGACTTTATATTCTCTCTCTCTCTCTCTCTCTCTCTCTCTCATAATGCAAGACGTAGAAAGTACAAGAAAACACATGCACATTTTAGTTTGACAGTAAATTAGTCGTTTCACGACAGCCAAATAATCTATGCAAAAAAATACACACCTTTGTACCTGCAAGGTCTTTTGGAAAAGACAAAATATTCCAGCCAGAAAGCTCTCTCTCTCCTTTTCTCCGGTACTTTATACAGAGAGAGAGAGAGAGAGAGAGAGAGAGAGAGAGAGAGCGAAGTTTAGCTATTACAGTAAAACACTCCATGGGCCGTAGCTATACATTCTTCTTACCCTATACACCAATATCTTTCTCTCATGGCTATACTAAGTCTACGAAAAACGTCTAGGTTCTTCTGGAATCTATAGAAATATATATGTTAAAGATTAAAGTCTACAGACGTTAATAAAGAACATCTATTTATTTATTGCACAAGTAATAAGAATTTCTGAATTAGCACTGTTCGACGTACCAGTATGAAGTCCAATACGAAGTTTGAGCCGCTGACTTGGTCGATGACGGATACGAAACGTCTTAACCGCATCGAGTAGTTCAAGCGCCATGAGGGATATTTCACTAGCATGCTGATCTCCGTTTCGCTCCGGCAGGCCAGACACTACCATGTAGGCGTCGCCGATAGTCTCAACCTTGTACACCTTGTAATTGCGGATGATGGAGTCAAATAGCGTATACAGATCATTGAGCATATTTACCACTTCCATCGGCGTAGAGGACGAGGACAGTTCAGTAAAGCCAACGATGTCACTGAAATAGATTGTGACCGCATCAAAACTTTCTGGGACGACGTATTCTCCGCGCACCAACTGGGCTGCAACTGTTTCCGGCAGCATTCGGTGAAGTAGATTCTCTGTTTTCTTTTTTTCCTCTTCAAGGAGCCGGGTCCGTTGAGACACAAGGTCTTCGAGATTGCTAGCGTACTTTTCCAGCATAGCCACCATATTGTCAACAATATTTGTTTTCATTCCCTGACGCATGCGCTTCAGACGAACTGCGACATCGGTGATCTCTGGTCGTTCTGCTGGGTTTTCTGCCCATCCGTCGGTAATCACCTTGACGACATAATCTTGGCACTGAATATCTTCCATCGAAGGTCGAAAAATGTCTTTCTCCGAAAGCGGAATGGTACATAGCTATAATGAACGATCGAAACCAATAGAGCGCGTTCACATTGAATGAAGGTTGATTTAGTCCGGCTACACAACGTCTAAATTTTGTTTGTTTTATGACTTCTTTGTTCACATTGACCATTCTGACTCCGATATGTATACGCAGTCTTTAACTGTACCAATACGTTTTCAAATCGATCCTGACACGCCCACCCCCTACCAAAAATAATTATCTATCTTGAGCAAAGAAATTCTTTAAGGCCAAAGTTCATGTCATAGGCTAGCAGCTATCTATTTCATAAGTACTTTCAGCACCGCCAATGGTGATACTTTTCTAATAATAGCTCGTTATTTACGATTCTACACCTCAACATAACGATTTACCTTTGCTACGATTTCTTTCGGCTCCATGTTGTAACTTCCCCAAGCGCCTTGTCGACTCATTATCTCGTGTAAGATGATGGCAAAAGAATACACATCATCCTTTTGACATGGCGAGACATAAATATTTTTAGCACGGGCGCGCAGCTGCTCTGGAGAACGCCACAAAAGACCTACATGAAATGTGTATATGTTAGCCTTTTCTCAGTCGATTTCTGATATCCGAAGACTATCGAAAGCTGAAAATACATACACAAGCTGTAGCTAACATTTTTTTATGTTTACGTCTTCATACATGGCTATAGCCCTTGAAGGAGGTGCTTCATTTTACTCCTGCAAATTAACGCGATGGCCCCTGTATCATATACATTCCGTCAGTTTATATATATATAGACTTATAGAAAAATATGAGAATCCTGGGAATAAATTCACCACAACGTGGATCATCGACTAATCAAGTTCTAGCGAATTAATTTTTAGGGGGTCTACTAATTTCACAAGGTGTAAGGCCCGGCAGTCGCTTAGATGACGCATCGACAGTAGACGTGAGAACGATGGCTGGATGCCTGTGACAGGAATGAATAATGCATTATTGTAATTATGTTCACGCGCCTATTATCAGTGGTAAACTGGGTCGAAAATGGCGGCCAGTGTCGGCATCCTTTTATACGACCCAGTTTGAATCAGCATAACATTATTGGCGAGTGGATAACTGTCCCGAATTCTCGGCCATCCCATGTGGGCACCTATCGCAAACTGCCATCCACCCAATTTCTACCACGAGCTACACTTTTTTGGGGATGCACTAATTGATAATCGTACCGTGCTCTACTGCGGCATACTATTTTATTTAATTAAATTATAATGATCAGATTCGGATTCATATTAGTGGAAGCTCTATATGGAAAAAGGAGTTTAGTGCGGCTGTCGGAGACATCTTTGGTCTGTGCTGACCCCCAAGTAGTTGCTTGTGGAGGAGAACGATATCGGAATTATCCGTCTTATTATGATTACTATATGATGTTAAACAAAACCATCGCGCCTGTGTGGGTTATGAAACGCGTCAAAGTGGATCATCGCACTTTCGATAGCGGTGAGTTATTTGCTACCGGATGGGATATAACGACGAATTTAGCCGCCGGTCGCAGGTCAGACAAATTGTGATTCCGAAATAGCAGTGTCGAAGCAATATTAAACTGGATAAAATCATTTACACCGATCACGAGTCTGGATCCGTTTCGCATTGTCTTCGATGTTGTCTCTGTGTGGTGCTACATAGCACAAATTCTAGTATCTGACCACTGAGAGTTAAATAATACGGAGCGAAAATACGCCGGATCAATGTTTGGTTATATTGCCTTGGAGATACGTACTTCTGTAATACTGCATCTCGTCGTCATATCGGATCAACTGATCGGTGGTGAAGCGAAGTTCGTGAAGTCCGAAGTCGGATAATTGCAGGGTCCACTTGTTTGTTATGAGACAGTTCGTAGACTTAAGATTACCGTGAACGCGAATCGAGCTCTGGTGGAGGTATTCAATTCCTGTTAATTATGACATACATTGATTTAATGGTGGCTATGTTACTACTCAATCATATAAATGGCTCGCATTGGTTTTACAGATAAAAATAACTGCGACGACGATTATACTACTTACTACTTATCATTGAAATATGTTATCTATCCTTTCTTTCGACATAAAAACCCAAGTCGACTCTATGCTATTGAGCAGATAAAATATCTATTGTAACAGCTAGAGACAATATACTATAATTTAGCATTTTATATAGGACACGTTAAAAGAAGTATATATATATTTTTGCACGGTCATAGAAACTTAATTTTCCAAACTAAAAAGTTGAACTTACGGAAAAAAAGATTATAATCCGATTCTAAAATTAAGTATGCTTTTTGGTCAAACAGAACGTTTTAAACGCTGGACATTTCAACTGGTGGCCTTCAGCATCGATACATTTCTGAAGACGAGTCTCGATTGGCTGCGTACTTCATGACAAGGTCTCCGATGAGGCTCGTGAACACACGTTTAAATTTCATCCCAAAGCGTTACGTGATCTTTGACGATATATGCTATGATTTTCTCCACGCGAAAAAGTCGAGCTCGCCCTGATCTGCCCTCGTGCACATCGTTACGAATCTCGAACATGTCTCGTAGTTGTGCAATTGTCGAGCAGACCCATGTATCCATATTTACAGCACTTCTGAATTATAGCAGCATTTGATAGCAACAACAATTTGACAGTAATGCGTCTTCAAAGCTCAATGTATTTGAGCGTTGCTGACGCTTTTATTTTACCACCAACAGAACAAGCCAGCTCAACTAAAACCCTTAGTTTGACAACAACAAAACATACTTGTGTTTCAAATTGGACTGCAGTTATCTTTTTCTCATAATTTTAGCTTCGTTGCAGGGAAACACAGAGATCCGTCATGTCAGTTTCAAGTGCCCATACATTTTCTGACGCGTTCTGCGTAACAGTGCGATAGATTTAATAGTGTAGTATAAAGTGACCGTGTTACAGGATTGTCTCAAGTCGATCCCGAATTTGATCTTTGGTAAAGTTATTTCAATTTATAATCAGTTTTCTAAATAATTCATTAATACTAAGAACTGTACTGCACAATGTCTCAATTCGGCTCATAACATGCTCTTTTATACAAAATTGCTTGCCTCTCTTTATAGCAAAATGTTCTGTTTCTTACCCTTGACTAGGTCCATGACTAGGGAGGCAATAAACATATTGTCGAGTTTGACATCGTCATCCTCCAAAATATCCTGTAGGCTTCCTTTCGAGCAGAACTCGGTGCACACCACAATTTCGTTTGGCTCTCTCACAAAGCTGCCGTTCAAAATTTCACGATCAGAATACATACATACAGAATACAAGAACGTAAACATATCTACGCCACAAAAGATTCAAACTTTCCTTTCAAATATTCATTTTTTTTTGCACAAAAAACGTTTTTCGTCTTTCAACACGGTTTACCTGAAGTAAATGAGAAATATTTCGAGAATATTTTTTTTGTGTGAAATTCATATATAGCCGTGTGGTGCTTAGGTAACTTTTTAATGTTCTCTAGTTAAAAATGAAACACATTTTTGCAGTAAATACGATTCTATCTCAGTGTCGCAGTGTAATACAGATGCAGATACAAGCGCCAATTTTAATTTATGCGACTATCTTTGGAAATTTGTGGATATCATTGCAATATTGATCTACTACGTCTTGTTGTCCTTTGACTGGTTGGCTGATTCTTGAAGCTACGTTTGCTTAGCGGCACACCAAAAAGCAAAAAGAACTTGGCTAAAGTGCTAACTTGTTCTAATGTAGTTGATTTAAGTTGGACTTTAATACGACACACGTTTCCATTGTTGGTTCGAAACGTACATCCTTATTAATTGTAACTTTTTAAACGATTTTAATTTCATTTTAAGTGCTTGGGATCCTGTCCATGTGTCGTTGTTGAAAATGATTATACAATATAAGTTTTCCAGATTTTACAGGTTTATACTTTCAGTTTACAGTGATGATAAGGGAGCCTCAAACTGAATTCTAACTGCCCAGAGTGGCCAAGTTGATCATGCAAATACTAACGCTCCAATGAAGGGGTTCACATTATGCTGATGGAGTTCACGCATTAACTTCATTTCCTTCTTAACTCTTCGAGGTATGTCCCCTGCTCCTCTGCTTTTAAGTTGAAGTTTCTTGATGACTACCAGAGCGCCACGATAGTTGCAAACGTCCAGCGAGCCCGATAACAGATGTAACGAATTCCCGGAATTCAGGCTAGCTAAACTCATCTGTGGTGAGCGAGAGAAGCAATCGTAGCCTTAACCAGAACCTGATCTCATATAACATAAATGCTTTATAAAGTTGATTCTATCCACAACTGGCCTAAAATACAGTGCATGCCCGACTCGGCTGTAAGCTGGCTCACTGCGAGATGAGCCTGTAATCTTATTATTTTTTCTTTTAACAAATGCTTTCCAACGGCCCACTGCTTTATCCTTCAATATTTCGCCCTACGTTTTCTAGCGGCTCTGCAACGACCTTCGTAAATTGTACTTTGTGTCAGAGCATTATTGCTACACCTGCCCCTACAACGCTACGAGCCTTGGGGTCTCGACTGCAGTCTCCTGGCGCTCATCGGATTTCTTTTATGCAAGGAAATGCCGCCTTTTGAAATAGTGAACGCTTGTTACGTTTCTTTTTCATTCAATACTAACCTTACTAACAGCTGAAATAGCTGTGTTTTGGCATGGAGTGAGATCACGACGATCAATCATCCACAAAAGTCCGGCAATTTCCTGTTCATACTGCCAGTTCCGGTAGATAAAAGTAGTCACAAGGGCAACAACGCTTAAGATAGCACAGAATGCACCGGCCACCCATTTGCGGATTAGGTCTGAAAAAGAATAGCGAATGTTATAGTGCTATCCACATACGCGGACTTGAAGAAACAGACTACGCATAATTAGCATCCTCAGTCTAGTTAGTGCAGTTTAAAAAAATATCAAAAGAATATAAAATATAAGCTGGCCAAATAATATCTGCTAACTTGAATAGTTACTTTTTCAATCTGAAGAATTTTGATGAGCAGTTTTAAATATCAGTAGTTTTCGATCAATACCAAAGAGTAAGTGTAGCGGTTCCCTAAAATTAGAAACCGCTTCACACTTAATTTCCTTGGGTTTCCATCTCACCGGCCACGAATTTGATCGGTTTTTACGGTGGTCAACCTCGCATTCTGTCGCTGTGAATGGCCAATTGTAGAGACCTTGCTTGTCACTAATAAAAATCTTGTTGCGCCCTAAGCGAACGCATCGCTTTGCAGTAGCGGTGCTATTTCAGAATTCGAAGGACACAGCAATTACGGCCATAACGTTAACTGATCCCACCAACTTCTGTTGAACTTCTTATATGAGTGTAGGAGTAGGACCGACCAGTCGTCGTTTGACTGTCTGTTCCAGTCAAATGGGTAGTGTACATCTATTAGGGAACAAGTTGCCTGCCTTAAAGTCATGAGTTCTTATCGAACTGGCGTCATCTGCTCCACTTCCGATCTTTTTTAAATCAAACCAACTTGTGTTCTTACCCTTTAAATAAGGATCGCATTAATTAAATTTGATTCAGTGGTATGCCGTGCCAATCTTGGTTGCAACGATTTACTTTTCTCTATATATTTCAAATTAAAGGTTGCGTTAAAATACCACACCGCCCGAGTGATCCTACCTTAAGGCTCTTGGAACGGCTGTAAGTAGGACCGGTGTTGTAAAACATTAATGCTGGGAATATAGGACTGGCCAAAAATATGAGGGACAGTTGCCCCAGCGCTGTCTCCGGTTGTCAGAGAGGAAGATTGTTACTTGCTAATATTCTAGCCAACGTCGCGTATCGTTTCCTGATTCCCGACCCAGATATAAATCGGTGCATTATTTATACATTCAGCATTGCCACAAGTTAAAGTCTATGCTTTAGTATATTTTTTTATGGTATTCCCTATGGTAGTATTGAGAACACGTGCAATACATATGTAACAGAACGTAAATTCGTTTGATTTATAAGTACATACAATGGTCTATGTATTATTACTCAACTGGGTTAATCTCATTGCTCGTCAACCAGATAATTGCAAGGACTATTATTGTCGTCACCGTAGATTCCGTTTCCAGTGCTGCAAGGAATAGGGTCTCAGATCCGTACTTTACCCGCAAAGACCGCCCCCATTCCCGTGTGAGTGTAATTAGCTGAAGACATGAATTGTCGATACGGGGCTCACGGGCATCGCGTTATTTTCAAGACAATGGATAAGCTATATAGCTGCATGGGAAATTTTTTCAGATAGTATATGTTTGCTTAAAATAATACGCACATGTATTTGCTTCTAAAGCTCGAATAAATCTGCAGGACTAAAGAGAAGTATCATACTGCTATTGTAAGCCCTGCTCAAGTTGTGTTCCAATATTTCTGTTCTTATATCAAGCCATGTAGATTTTTTACTTCTCTCCTCGGCGTAAATATGTAGTTTTGTTATCTCTCGCCGGATTTTAAGTAGGTCCTGATATGTTTTTAGTTCAGCAATGGTTTTACGGTCCACGGCCCGTTACTATGTTGTGCCCTTCCTCCAAATCAATACTACCAGCTGATACATTTCCTATCACAGTCAGCGTAGGGGTTCTGTTCGTTTGACTTAGCACGCAGACTCGTTTTGTGTGTCTTGTATCTAGAGAGGGGAGTCTTCTATTGTGTCCTCCGGAGAATCGTGCGGAATCTCCAAGTGACGTTTTCGTCTCACGGAATCCCGCTAAATCGCCAATGATTCGCCTAGAAGGCCTAAATGCAGCTAAGGCTTGACCAAATGGAATATGAAGCATGTTTATACGAAGCGTGGGCGAGGTATACGCACGACGACGGCAGTTGATCGTATAGACAAACAGCTAATTCTTCTTCCCCCAATAGTGCACAGCACCAGATAGAACAAAAAGTAGGCAGAAGCAGTAGATTCGGTTAGTGGCTCCGGAGACCGAATAACCTCAATCTTTAGACGTTCTCCGTCTACAGCAGGCACACCCTTATTGTCGATAGGATGAAACAAAAATCAGCGGGTACTCGAATCAATTTTACCCAAGCTACGATTAGTCTTCCGAGTAACTTTTGAGCAACATGGTTAGTTGACACTCAAACGGACACTGTTCTTTTATCAGCCTTAAAACAAAGGATTCCGAACTTTCTTCTTTAATTTTCATCGGCTTTCAGTGCTCTTTTAAAGCGTTTTAGCAGTGCGGGTATTCACGGTATAATACGCTTAATCGTATTTGTCAGTCGGAGCTGAAACCATCATAATTGGTATAATGATATTCTGCCTATCGGAACTTTAGGCTTCAAAGCTGAGTAATTGTCTCTGGTATGTAGCACAAAATCTAAACGAAGTGTTGATTCTGCAATTGCTTCTATTGTAACAAGGATAACAAGGATTTTGCCAAAAACGTCTTTTAGCTCTGCTTCCGAGCTCGATGATGGTAAGCAACTTTCTCCATGCTTTTCTCTGTAAATTAATCATCTCTAAATTACTTAAAATCAGTGTAATCTAAGCTAGATTTTTATTAAATTTATAGCACTGATGTTAGTTTTTACGCAAATATATTGACGATCCTTTTTAAAAGTTTCAAAATATAACTAATTCAGTTAAAAGTAAGTAGTTCAGACAAAGGCAGTCCGTCTGTCAACTCAAAATGATGTAATTTTGTCATCTTGTCTTCCACATTAGTCGCATCTCCATATATATATATATATAGTGAAAATAAGCACATTTTAATATGTACCATCTGTCACAGAAATGAAATTATAAATTACTATTACTAAAAAACAAGTATAAATTTATCGTGAAAACGGTAAAAACTTTATATACATATATAGCGTGTTACATATTATGGACATCAAACGAGATTTTCTACGCAGCGTTAACAGGTTATTGTCCGGATAGTTAAGAACGGACCAAAATACAAACAAAATAATAATAGTCGACCTAATATTTTTTACTAAGCACATATTACACTAGTGTATTCTACCTCGAAATTTTCAGATAAGGTAGCACTGGACAAATCTAATTAATGTTTACGATTTTTTATTCTATAAATAATTGTATATTCAATGGACACAGCATGTTGAAAAAAATATTTTTAATATCGACATAATCTTAAAATTAAGTTGTAGCCATTTTTTGACTTAACAGAATTAGGTAATTGTTGTCCTACTTGTATACTATGTAGTTTAAGGACTCAAAAAGGAGTCAGGCGCATATGCGTACCATCTGCCTACATACTCCACTTCGATTATTAGTGCCACATCAATGCGAAACAGTTCGGCAAAGTAAACTAGGATCTCTTAAGTTCGCAGAATCGAATCGGAACCTTGTATCGCGCGGTGCACAATGCCCGCCACGAGTTTGAATTTTTCATAAATAATCGTTCAAAGAGGTAACCATGGTGACGACGACGACGACGACTCAATCGTTAATTGCGTTCTAAGATGCAGAATTTACGTCACTTTGTAATATTTTTTGGATTTTATTTCTACGCTCGACATGCAGAGTGGCGCACATAACAACGGGTCATTTTTAAGTCTTTTGATCCAAAGGTCTTGCAAACCTTGCTGCATGATATTTTTCTCACATAAACTATTTACAGGCACGTATATCTTTATCATCCGTGTATATTTCTAACTTGATTACTGTGGAGTTTACGCAATGCATTTGCTCGCCCCACTTTATTAAAGAAGAGATCAATTCCACTCTGGCTAAATTTACCCGTATTTAAGATATTCGTATTGCCTCTCGAAACAATAAACTAGTCATTTTTGCAGTGAGAACAGTTTATTAGAAGTTGAAGATATTAGGCTCATCTGGGCTGTGTGCAGATTGATGAAAGCCATAAGAGTTCAGGTCCCCGCTTAATCGAGACAAAAACATTTCCGAATTAACTTTACTTGCTCGTACATCTACGGCCGTTTCATGCCGATGACACTCAAGTGGACTAGATTATCACGAGGTCTTAATGCCTTAAACACTCACTCGTTTCTGACGGGCAACGCATTCCATCGAATCCGCAGCTAGGTTCATCCAAAACAATCTCGTCCCCAAATGGATTTGTGGGCATGTTCAATAGTACTTCCCCATTTTTCACCTGGAAGCTAAGGAGCAATATATGTAGAGCACTTTTATTATTACTCAGTTGAAGAAGGCACCTATGAAATAAGCTATCATATACGCCTGCGGGCGTTATATGTTTGAATTATAAACTTTTGCTTGCTCTCGGTTATAGCAAAGGCATTATTGGATCTTTCGTAATCGGTTGACCAATTTTATGGTTCTTTTGCTGATAACCAATTGCCACCTACCACTGGACAGTGTGTTTGTTGTTCCATCAACTGTTTTCATGGTGGCTTTGAGCTTCAAAGACGGGTATTTAGGGTAAGATAAGAGTGAATCGTTTGCAGACGTTAACACTGTACCGAAGTAATTTAGTACATACAGCGGTAACTTTATGGCCAAAATATACACTTATCCAAGGGCTACGCTTCGCCAAAAGTAGCACGTGAGGATCCTTACCGAACGCGAAGTGTTGAGTGGAATACATCTTTCCAATCGAGCGCGCCATTTTTTTTAATTGAAGCAAGTCACTCTCTAGTAGCACTCTACTCTCAGTTATGTAAATTTGGGCCTATTTTTTTCTACTTCGATAAAAAGTGGGTAACAAATACGATTTTTTGTTATTCGAGATACCCATTATTGAGACCCAAGGACAAGGCTGCACTGTGTAAGCTGAACAAAACGGTCAGAAGAAAACGATTACACAAGTTGTAGGGTAAAGAAAAGCCTTGCCATTGCAGGTCTGCGACGTAATGTAGACATTCCATGTAAAATGATTGTTCGCTGTTAAATAAGACAACGCAGCCCGATCGTTTTAATGGCCTTCTTGGATCGTCCATGGATTGTTAGCCCTTTTGAAGAAAAAAGAACATTAGAGCAGTAAATTGGAGTACTTAAAGGTGACAATGAAAGTTACTAAGCGACTCATCCTACACAGACAGAACCTGCCAATGACGTCGAAGGTTCCCATTTGCCTGTCAGGTTCCAATGGCTTTTTGAAGCTGAGCAACTCGTATTCACCCACTACGGTGCCATCTCCTTCCAGTAGTAACTTAATGCCCGTTAGACCTAAAGCAGAAATAAAAATAGCGTACGTAATATTTAGCGGCTATTAAAATTTAAACCTGGTTGCGACTGCCTGCCGGTGCCGCAGCTATTTGGCACAAGGTAGAATCTAACATAACTTAACCTTTGGATAGTGAGCTATCGTACTTCATGCGAGCAGTGATTTCTCTTCTATATATTTTCGCATAGTAACTGCAGGTAGCAGATATCAACCGCTCCTGATAAGTAGATAAATGGGAAGCATCTTTTATGAAAAGGCCAGCCGCCACGACCGTAGTGCATTCCGAGCTTAAGCACTTGCAGCAGACGGGTAGCCCGGTCTAAGAAGTTGCTACCTCAAGTCATTCTATAATAATCACTAGTAGTAGATCATGTTAAAAAGAGAAGCAGAAATGACACAAACTTAAAAATGCTGAATAGCTATTTTTTAATTAACAAGTTAAGTTGTTCGTACTGGGAATTCCAGATTTGTTCCGGATGTGACCCGCGACGACCTTTCCTTTATTCCAGTCAGTCCTGCCAGCAGCGCGAAGTTCCGTCACCGCATTAGCCCAGGTCATCAATGCATCGTATAGATAGTAGGCATAGATAGAGATAAACTGAAATCAATCGGTCGATCGAAAGATTGTAGCACAAATGGTAGGAGATCACAAATTATAGTTAGTTTTACACCGAATCTCATTTTAATAGTAGCCATTAAATAGCTCTATTTCTGTGTTCACTGAAAATTAATGAAAGTATCAATGAATGTAATATCGACTAAAGGATATGTGACGCTTCGTAAAAAGATGGCAATCACTTTGCAAGTAATCATCTCTGTTAGACAGAGGGTTATGTTTGGTTCCGAAACTAAACAGATAGTTCAAATAGAATCTGTTCAGCAGTGTCTGTATAAGCCTTTGTCGGAACTTGGATGAATCTTAAAATGCGCACAATGACATCTTATCGTTATCAAGTGAGAAGCAGACACAGTGTGGTAAATCAATGTATCGTAAGTACTGTATATCCTTGTAATATTATGTAATGTACTTCTTTTATTTGTGGAGTTAAGGGGACGTCTGCTGTATAGTATGAAACAACTCATTAGCACACCTTAGCCCCGAAGGATGACGGCGAATGAAGATAGAACGGTGCTTGCTTGTTATAACTTCTTACTAGCTTCTCGAACGTGTCACCTTCAATCTCTCCGCGTGGACTCCTAGGAAGGATCGCCAATGTATGCTCCGCTCCCATATTATAACCGGACCTGTGACACATTCACACCCATTGAACTTATTCATTTGTTAGACTCAGTCTTTAACAAATGGCCAGTATCGTCACTATACCAGTGTACTCAAGGCGGTCGTTTTTAGTTTCGGTGATGATTTAAGTGGGAGCCTATTCCGTGCACGTCCGTTACGGTAGAAGATCACTTTGGAACATCATATCATCAAGATTCATTTGTTTAGCTTATTATCCGTTCTCAGACGAAACTCAGTTTCGATATTCTGCAGTGAACACGGGAGCTATATTTCGAATATTTTTAAGTACAAAACGTGATGACATTTACGGGCTATCTATGAAAACTGGACAGCGAGCGGATACAAGGATCCAAAAGGTTTTTTAAAACAAATCGCTCACTTTAGAATGGTTATAATGCTGTATCCCCTACGCGTCATCGAAAATGTCTTTTGATAACATCTCTACAAAGAGGTATAGTTTGATGTGTGTCAGCTCATTCTAGAAATTCACTTTTCAACGAATTTCTAACTGTTGTGTTCAGCCTGTAGTGACAACATTCTGATATGGAACTGCACCGATAAAGCCAGTCTACAAAGGTCAATAAGACATCTTAAGGGTCTTTGGAATCGAAAGTTTGCTCAAGCAAATCCGACGGTCACCTTTCCCAATATACAATTCTACCAGCGTAAAAGAAGGTCCCTCCAGCGCAATGTATGTTATTCTCTTTACCAGTTTATATTGTACTTGAATCCGGTTGAGACTGTGGTACTATTCGAATGTTTAGCGTTGAGAGGGATTGCAGATGCATTGTTTAACGCTACTGGTTGGCATAGGATACCAAACCCTGAAGTTAAACAACTATCCACTTACATCCCATCTCCCCAGCTTAGTTTTCCATGGAGTCCATTTATGAAGTGGCAAATAAACGAAGTAGTAAATATTTTTGACTCAAATGAGCGCGCCAACTCCTAACCCGCTTCTGCGCTTTACCCTAAACGGAGAAATTCTCAGGCACAATGTTCGATATGTACCAGTTGCCTGGTCATTTCCTCGTTTTTCCGCTTAGGAGCCAACACAAAGGAACTGCTTAATGCATCGTTTTTACCATTTGCTTTTTCTCGTACTAGAGTTTGGCTCGATTTCTCTGTGGCTCCGCATGTGTAGCGGACAAAAGCGTCGGACGTCTACCGCTGTAACTAAAATCCGAGGTAGTAAGTTATTCATTGCTGGCTCAAGTGCGCGACATCTCACTGTTTTTAAATCAATAACTAACAATTGGTAGCTGACGGTGACGCCTACACGATAACAATAATTTAGATCGAATTTATGCGAACGAAAAACACACAGCACTAACAAAAGTCAGCCTGTTTCTACATGCAGTTATCGTAAATACAGCAGCTGTCGCGCATACCGGGCCCAATCTGTATTAGATGAAAGTTGCTTATATTCGTCGTTAAATCCTTTTTCGTTGAGTGAGTGATCCGTCGTAATATAGATAACCTTGTACTCGCCATGCTTTGTCAAACCCCTCGCTGCGAGACCAAAAACAAATCGGGAAAGGTTCGCGACATCACCCATGAAGACGTAAACTGAAAGAAACGATGACATAGAAGAAGTAGATAGTGTGATTATGAAACAACTGATAGAAGTTTGATTAAATTATTGAACTTTTTCTATTTTGCCATTCGTCTATTGCAAGTGTTATATATAACGGGTGTCAGACAATCAGCTGATTACGTTTACGCAAATTAGACAGTTTCCGCTTTGAGTTATATCTCATGTAAGAACCCCGCGCATTTTCAAAATGTAATACAACTAAAGTGTCGTGGCTTTTTAATGCATCCAGTTGACACGCATGAGAAATATTTAGCGTGTCCCGGATAGTTAAGGAAATACAGGAAACATAAATGTGAATTCGGATCATCGGTTTACTGGTAAGATATTTGGTTAATTCTCAAAGGCCGAATCTGATAAGGTTCAATGATGGCATTATAATCCGTATCAGACACCTTCACTACCGGCTACTGATATAGCAGCAAACGCAAAATAAACACAGCTCCAGCAAAACCGAAAGAGCGTTCCCCTTTTGCAGGACAGGAAGGCTGCTCCATGAGGAATAGACCAACTGATAACGAGAAATAACACTGTATGAAATCTTGATCGCGGTAACGCTATGGAAAATGTAAAATTCTAAGGGAGCTTCATGGATACATAGACCTATACTTCCCATTGTCGTCGTTCAAACGTGATGAAAGGGCGCAATCTTCTGTTTGCCTGGCGTATTTCCAGAAGTATCTTTGACTATCTGGGAAATCTAATAATATAAAAATTTACCTTTACAAAAATTCTATACTTCTATTTTTCGAATCAGCCTTGAGCTTTTGCGCATCTTTCTAAAAAAAAATTGACTATTTTTGTTACAGCCGTCACAGATTATTGCTGAGATATTCTAGGATATTGTAGAACTGACGCTATTGCCACAGATGTAAACTCGCTGTAGAAAACCCAGAATAAATAGGTACGAGTATCAAAAATGAAAGAAAAACACAAAAGTAAATGGTAGTTCCTAAGCCGGCCAACGAAACAGGCTACTTCAGAATCACTATTAATTTAATCATAAAGTAATTTCAATTCCTTGGAGAATAAAATACCAAATTTTTATTTCTAGGGTTCATTCCTAGTAAAACATTAAACCTAATTTCTCTCTGGTTTCAATGGAGGTCCTTAATCTGGGTTATCAAGCAGTCTGTATAGCTTCTTTAGCGTCAGCAACATCCGAACATAAAAGAGCTTTTTCCTTTTTAGCTCAGAATAAAAATACGTCTTATTATATGTCCGGTACTTGTACTCTAAATATGTTTATTGAACTATTTGAATTGTTTAATATCATAGTCAGTGTTATGTTTAAGGCGATATAAATTTATTATCATACCCATCATGAGGTATCAAACTGTTAATGGGCTTCTATACGCTCTGGACTTGATCAAAAATATTAGAGATGAGACTGCATAATTGGGACCACATGTTTAATGTCAGCCTTTGCTGTCCAAAATAACCTATTCCCTCTAACTCCAATACCGGCCTAACCATGGGTGAACCTTCTCATTGAACTTTGCATGCGGTACAACCTTAACTTTTTCATTAAAGCTCCTTTGCGTCTATCAGACACGTAAATGATTTGGACTTGTAGATTTCGAGAATCATACCACTTTGAATACTATAGCAATGAAAATATATCTTATTATCTCTAATCGATCCCTTATCGTTCCTGTTATCAATGGCGTACACATGATCATGCGACTCCGTTGACTGCGGGACGCCTGCCCACAACTGAGAACGAAGCCAGTAGCAGAGGTATAGAATGCGTTTAATAATACCTCGTCCTGAAAAGAGCTGTGCACCCTTTCCACTTCCTAAAGAAATTAGTTTGACCCGTTAACGGCGCATTTACGAAATATCGTCAGGACATGCTTACAAACGGAGCGAAACAATTTAATTGTTTTACGTAAGTATTTTTTCTGTATGTACTATGTTCATATAGATAAACTATGCACTAACGATGTACTCAGGGCATCTACAGACATCTAGTAAGCCAGGCTAATGTAACAAGTGTTTTCTATTCCACTTTGAACTATTCTAGGTCCCATTTAAGGGGCCTTGTATAATAATCGTTTCTATATACTGAAATGGTTTTGCGATAGTCGAAACAGTCTTGTGCCATTTTCAAGATAAATAATGCTCGTCATGCATGTATTTTTCCTTAGTACAAATCGAATCACTTTTTTTTTTTTTGAATGTGGTAAATTGCAACCTAAAGAAAAAGGGGTTCCATTGAGGTGTGAAGCATTCGAGCGTGCGATGTAGGCTGAATCCCGCAATTAGCTCTCGTTGGTTCTGAACAGTCGAAAGAAAGGGATGCTTATGTAACGAACTCGCATTGATTCACTAGTGCATTGACGAAAAGGTGAGAAGAATAGTTATGCTTCGTAGTTTCCATCATACAGTGACTATCCAGCTAAATTATACCGTGGTAGCGAACATTAGTAAGTAATTAATTTTTTTAATGAACCACTGCTTGGCGCCTGTCGAGAGTAACTTCAAGAGGAAGCTTCTTTCTCCAAAAAGTTAGACTGTATGGAAGTGTTGAAATAGATAATATTTTCGCCACACTTACTGCGGGTGTTATCTTTTGTCTGATGGATGAGTTCAGAAAGGTAGTGGTGGTCACATTCCCGTAGGTTAACCAAAACGGTGACGCATTTAGCATTTCCAGGTCGCACGTAGTACGCTTCCTTCATCTCGAACGCTTTGCCTTCAGCAGCTACTCGATCCTTCAACTTTGTTTGGAGAGGACGGCTTTCCGTTTCCTCGAAAATTAAGGTGAACTTTTTCCAGTTGAAATGTCGTAGTAGGGCAAATAGCATGTCGACAACCTGTACAAACGGATGACAAACAATTTCAGTAGTACTAAGGCTACCTTCGGATAAATCCGTGCTATAAACGAATAAGCCAAGTACAATGACTCTAGTGTTTGTCATTGTGCGTTTTATTTTATACGTCGAACACGACTTTACGACATAGTGTAACTGAAATTTAGATTACACCATAAGCAAAGTCATTAATTGTCCTAAAATCTTCTTTTCAAAAAGGAAAAATTCATATTTCTAATAGGGATAACTGTAACTTGGCTGCTCCATCCATCCATCCATCTATCTATATAATGACTATACCACGAGAAACAACGGAAAGTTTCTAGGTGTACCTGCGAATATCAAGGCGTGACATCAGAAATAGACTTTTTAGTTCATATTTTCCGTCATCACAATTTGTCATAAACAGAATCCACAATTTAAGCTATTTTACTCTAAAGAACAACGCCCAAGCGAAAAATCTATTTCCAGCCGTGTCAGTAATAGCGGACAAGCCTCAAGGTTACGTCTATGTTGCGTTTTACGAGTTGGTGCGGCAATACCCCGGCAGGCGTTAATTGACTTAAGCATTGGCCGCTCACGGAAATTCCCTTGTGTTCGAAAACTCCCTGATGCGAGCGTTCGCTAATAAAATAATCCTTTGATTTACAGGAGCTCTTATGAAGTACGACCTCACTACACGGCTACATCATCGAACTGAGTAAGTTTCGTCGCTTAACTCCACGCTGATCAGTGTCAACAACGATTGTAATTAATGGACAATTCAATAGACGAGGGTAGCATCGTAGTAGAATGTGTGAGCCTTACAGTATCGAATAGACCAGTCCTATTCTGCTGTTCTACGTGTGGAGGGCTGCAACGAAAGAATGTCTTTCAACTATACATGCTTTATGCGAAGCCAGCCAAATAACGTGCACGCTTACTAGTGGCGTAAAAGAATTATATATCGGCCACCATTTGGATCGGTGCAATAAATATATATATATATATACATAAATATATATATATATATATATATATATATATATATATATATATATATATATAGCGACAGGTCGATATTAATTCCAAAGACGAAAAAAGTATTCGTTGCATACAGAACGAAGTGTATGCATAGAACTCCCATCTTACTAGCGACGACCTAAGGAAAATGATTATTATTACTATATACATATATATATATATATGTATAGAGAGCCGCTCATGCAGTTAGGACCGACTGACTCATAACTAACCACTATTCACTTGGAACCCATGTCCAACTTTTTTTCTCCATAAGTACCTGCTAGTACCGCCAAAATTCGAATACGTGACGACTATATTACTTCACAGCAAAAGCCTTTGACGCTATCACATTACCTTCATTCTGTCTAAGTGTGATTCTAAATGCGTCAGACGTCAGAACTCGACTATTAACGCAATGCTATTGAAAGCGATTTCAACTTCATATCTGTAATAGTAAAAAGGTCTAGGGGCTTCTGAATAATGTGCTTTCTTTGCTAAGGGCCAAAAAAAGTCCGTTACCGTTATTTGCGCGCAATATGCATAGACTAATACTACGGAAAGCAGCAGAAGCGGTCGTTAATGTAGTGAAAGCTTACGTGAGCTGAATGAGCTTACGTGAGGGAAAGAATAGAAATTAGATAAAGTTTAGAAAGTGCATCAAACCTCGAGAGTGTGAGCGCAATGTTTTATGAAGAACATGAATAGGGGGGTTTCGGATTAGTTCGGGTAGTTCTATGTCGGGAAAAAAAGGACGTACGAAGTGCTGCTCCACATGCTGATGGGAGATGTCTGTAAGATTGATCAATTTTGCGAGCTTCGATGATTATCCCATAGCGTCAAGCGATTTTCGCTTGCGAATCACTAAATATGTGAGCATACATGCACCGGGCCAGTACGTGGCATTTTACAACGTTTAAAATACGCTCTGTGAGGAAAGCAATCGTTTTGAAACGTAACCGTTATGGTAACACGTAGTTGCCACGAATTTCTGCGCAGAAATTCAGTCCTTCGAAAGTTCCATCTGCTCCGAGCGTGCGAACAAAGTTTTCTAATGGGAAAAGCAGTAGGAAGCGTTTATAGGCACACGGAAAACCACCGTCTGTTTGACGGGTGGGCCGTGGCGCAGGCTCCATATTTGATTGTCGAATTCGGTCTTCTCCCATACGCCGGTTTAGCTCACTGTTTATTTTTAGAAATACGACTTGTTCATTATTCACTTTCTATGTCCACCACGGTTCCTGGTAGTATGAAAATTTGTGCCAGGCTTCCTACATGCATTTTAATTAAACTCAGATACCTATTTCATACATAATAAGGATGACTGTTCGCAGTATTAACTCGTACTGAGTTTATGTGTGTTAGCTCTTCACCAATCAAGTAAAAAAAAAGAGCTATGATTAAAATAATCTTAATAACACCAAGACGATTTCGAGTTTTTTCAAACAACTGTCAATGAGACGCCGCTTTAAATAGAGGACGCGTCAGCCTCTTGCCCCCAAGATATGCCCAAGAAGAAGAACAATATCGTTGTGTTTCTCGTTCTAACATGAAACAACATTAATAATACCAAGACAATATGATCCGCATTGTGTATATGTGGTTGACGGTATTCATCCTGGCGTGTATATGTAGAAACAGTAACATACGGGCTTCTTAGTCTTTTAGCGTACGGTCGAAGAGCTGCTTGCACAAAAAGCCCATCAACTGGGTCCGGCAGACTTCATGCTCTAGAGATGATTGTTTGTGAACGCCCTCAATCGCTGCAGTGGCTTTTCAAACTATACGTTCCAAGACGCTACTCTAAATGGCAGCCAACACACTCTATATAATAATAGTGATTTACGGATGCTGGTCGATAGACTCAAACCTCTATAAAAAGAAAACTCTCAGCTTTCTGCAAAGGCATCAGTGGTAATGTCTGGCAGTAGCCATACTAAAATGATACTGTAGACCTTCCGTAGATGACTAGGTCATCGTCTCGCTCTGTCTCTCTCTCTCTCTCTCTCTCTCTACTGCTATTCAATCTTTTCTTTGCAAGCAAAAAAAAGTGGCATTATATTTTCAGACATACCACTAAACAAAATAAGACGTTTAAATGTTAAATAGTAATTTTTCCAATTTTTTTTTTTCTATTACACCTTTCATGTTGTGATGACCAGCGGCAAATACATATATATATATATATATATATATAAATAATTACGTTATGAACACTACAGTTCTGCCAAGATAAACTGTGTCTATAGCTATACAGATTGTAACAAGCCTTACGATTGCATAAGAAATCCTTTTATATATCAGTAGATCTATAAATTATTCACTCATCGGCAGAGTTACGGTGGATGGATGCCCTGTACGTACTTGACTGTTATCCTTCCTAACTATGATAGCAAATTCGAAAGTTTGTCCAAGTCATACAACTAAAAGGCAGAATCCGTTTACCTGACTATTTGTCATTTATCACTACCTGACAGGTAAGAAAATATACATTTTCTTTCAATGGCTAAATTGTTCTCGCAAAGAGGCGCAAGGAGAAAAGTATTGTTTTAATCTTGTGGCACAATGTAGCATCTTTCCAACCAAATGTCATTTTCGTAACTGAACTAATGAGTCAAGCTTGGTTTAGTGATAGAGAACGCGTATTGACTTAGTTCTATTGACAATTATATATATATATATATATAGTTATCTAGAAAAACACAAAGAAGCTTTTACAAAAGCGATGGAAGTAAAAAAATACCAGATAATTTCCATTAAGCGACACACTAAACGGCTTATTCATAACGTACGTATCACGAATCCCTATTTCTTATTTCGAGTTCAGAAAAGATAAGATTTTATATATATATATTTGTGAGCATGTGTATGTGTCGGTCCCGCACGCTTCCTCTACAGACTCTGCCATCGCTAGCCTTTTGGGGAGGATACTTTGGTCGAGATAGGGCGACGAAAGGGAAACTCGATTGCGTTTCTCTCGATGCTATTGTTTCCCTGGTTGTATGGCCAGACCTTCGATGGCCCATGCCTAGCATTCCACAGATAAGCCACACGGTATGCAACCTTACAATGAGGAACATTATCTGTTGCATCACTGCGTCATGTTCTACCGTTTTGTCGAAGCACTGACAAGACAAAAGCCTTTATCATAATAAGCAGAATCTTGATAAAGGCAGTGGAGGATATTTTCTGTTATTACCGGTAGTATAGCGGATAGGCATGCGAGACACAAGGGATCATAGACATCGTAAACAAATCCTCGACTCAGGCTACTCCACATTAATAAGAAGTAGAATTATACCACCGTCATGTCAGGGAGGGTGCTACGCTTATGACTGAGTCTTCAAAAGAGGATTTCTATTTTCTTTATTGCTATCCTCTGATATTTATTATTTAATGGCGCATAATTAACGAGGAACGCTTGGAAAGCCATTATGTACAAGAAGCTGGAACGGAGACTATAGAAAAATACTTTACTTAGTCCGCAGTTATGGTACATGTGCTAGATCTATTTCAGTAAAACATGGTCTTATTATCTATGATATATCGACGACGAACTAATTAAGGAAAACATTGAAAAAACTCACATATTTCTCAGTTGGTACTAGACTGATCATATTTGTTTCCAAGATGCGTATATTTGGGTCGTTGCATTTCTGAAATGAAAAAATTGAAAGTTATTTAGTTATATGACTATTATGCCTAGTGTAAGTAGGGGGCACATTAATACGAACAGCCTCAAAATAAGCCCATTTTGGATCCTATACCAATAGAAAAAAGTGTACGCTCATAGCTGGATACGTGAAAGTACATGCCTGTACTTAGGACTTGTAAAGGCGCTGCTGAAACACATATTGCCTCTGCGGTATGCCTACGCTTGCCTGACCCCCCCCCCCCCTGAGGTTTTTAAACAAATGTATCAGTCGATCATTAAATGTACTAATGACAATTTATAATTATGCTGTTAGATGTTTTTGCAGTCTGCTGTTTTAGTACTATAGAATTCATCAACGCAAGTAAAAGCACTCTATCGAAGTGCTACCTGACCGATGAATCCATATATCTTACACTAACTACCATAAATCTAACCTAGTTTTCAATTTACCACTACTGGGCGCATTTGGAACATTTTACAGTGCAGAAAATGTAAATTATTCTCTCTTTTGGTAAACAGCGATGACTTCATAATACAGTAAAGGCATCAGCCAGCTCTCCCCGTGATCTTTACCCCGTCTTATTCATTTTCAGACGACACCAACGGCTCGCTCCAAACTAACGACCGGCTCAGTTACAGGAGCAAGGGTAAAGGGCAATGGCTCGTTTTGCCTATTCTTTATCTCACTCGATGTAGGCCTTGACCTATTAACCACTACTTAGGCTCTAGAGACTGAGTAAAAGTAATTAATGTCCAGCCTCTGTTACTCCGACAACGGCTGGCTTCTCAACGACCGCCACGTGGGCATTGCTTGAATAGGGCTTGTAACGCTGAAAGTTTTAACTTGTTCATCATAGCGTTCGATATCTCATACGCCTTCTAAACTGTTTTTATGATAAAGCTTCGGCACTAGTAAGCCACGAAGTCAATTCCCCTTCAATTTAAAGCTGTCCACGATGCCACTTGCTAAAAGCCATTCCCTCATTGATACATTTGACAGAGTATTGACGTTGACAGCGGCTTAGAACCAGTCAGTGGATTGTTAGTGCTTGTTACGTTGTTGAAAGTGTGAATTTTTCAGTCGATTAACTCCTATGCTGAATAGTCGAAGCAGAGTATACTACTATCGCACTATACTTCTTCGCATAGTATGACGTGAAGCGTTGCCGTATTGCACTGGTGAAAATTTTTTTTTTTTTGCATCGGCAACTGACTTTTCCTAATAAATCTCCCACGGAGACATTCTTACGTACGATTAGCTTCATTTTAAGTTACTTTTTCAATCCCAATTGGTGGGCATTGGCACCAATACCACTGATATAGTTTTAAGCGAACCCAGAATGCCAATAAAAATGAACATTCCTAACCGCTATATATCGTTACCCAGTCCCAGCGATACAAGTGTTTCCGTTTCCGTAAACGTAATACCCTTCCACTGCCGTGAACGCTCTGGACCTAGCCGGCCCTTCAGCCGTTTTTTTTTGCTGCTTTTTCTCTTTGTATGCATCCGACCAACGCGATTTGTTTGGGGAGACGCTCACAGCTTGATTAGTTCGTATTGCTCAAATTGATCCCAGGCAATTACGTACGCCGTCGAGCCAAAATCGTTTAATTAACTTCGCTACAAATAAGCTGCCGCTTTTGTTAGATATTTTATATACACGACAGACGAGTGTCTCCGATACAAAGGAAAACCTATTTTTACTGTGTGAATAAATGCTACCAAAGTGCCAGTCTTATCATATATCCCGAGGATCTACTCCGATTGGCGACATTTAATATAAATATACTCTGAGCCAGTCGTTCCTGGCCAATGATCCTTTACACGAACGCACCATCAATGAAACTGCGGATACCAACTGCAGCTATACTATCAATTGGACATAAATTAACTAAACGTAAATGCGTTCTCAGCAAGCATTCAGAACTTCAATATCGTGTGAAAATCACTACTTTACGTGGAACCCATTGTGCATTCCGTCATGGCAATAAATAAGTGCTAGATTGCTTATATAAGGCACTAGAGTCTAGTTCTGCCCCTAAATCAGCGCTGTGCTATTGAAAACGTGATTCCATGGTCCCCTGATGTTGACGTTCTGCTAGACGGAGCCGACAAAGATCGATTTTGGAAAAACTAGATTGCTCTTATATAGCTTGCAAGACTTACATATTGTTGTTTAATTTTTGCACAAAGGTGTATTGCTTTAGTTGTTAAATCATTCAGAGAGGCTAAGGAAGGAATGTGGTGAAGACAAACTTTACACATATGTGCTTGGAATTGAGTTTTTTTTTTTTCTTGTACTTGAATGTTCCTATAAATGTTCCACTCAGAAGTCAGTTAATAGGTTTTTCTAGAATATTTCGACGCTAATCAGGAGCGGTCTACGTGTATTCCGAAACGTATATTTTAGGCGTTGGCCTCGTGCACCAAAATAGCAGTATTGCCGCTGAATCGTTGTATCTAGATTCGCCTCTTTCCGAGCTCCGGTCGGAATGATCACATTTAATAATAATATGACTTCATCTTCAGCGATACGGAAATCTGTAAACAGCTTACCAAAAAGAATCGTACGATTATCATGACTGTATGGATATTGTAGAGATGGCCGCACTCGATCTACCCACTATAGTACGTGCGGTTCTGGTCATCTTATAGCGTCTAGCATCGAACGCATTTGTGTGCGCGTACGAGAGTAACTTTGTGTGTCCGCAATGCATTCTGTTGGACATATTCTGTTACATACGAGTAAAATGGACACAGTATGAAAGAAGCGCGCAGTTGTCTATTGTCCCACTCGTCCACCTCGTCTGCGTTCCCTTCCTTGTCCTATTCTTTAACAGTAGATGTTTACGCTAGATGCCCTGTTTAGCGTCATACATCATTGTGCCGTACAGGGGCCGTCACGTGACCTTAATGGTATAAAAGGACTTGGTGAAGGACACTGAAGGTCACCCCAGGAAGTGCCGTCGACGCGCACTTAATGGAAAAACAACGAACAGGACATCCTGTGTCTGAAACACACCAACCCATTACAACTAGAAACACGCGTAAGGGGTGTTTTAAGCCGCCTGTTGATGTTTTACATTTTCCTCAGGGATAGACAGGTTGATAATAATCATGTCCAGCTGCAGTTTATACATGGCTGTCAACTAAAGTGATAAAAGTTAGGCTGCGGCAATTAAGAAACCATATCGTACAAATATGATCTACGATCTAGAGAGAAATTTAGTCTAGCTAAGTATATCAAAGCTTAGTTTACGTGCTAAACTGATCTGTATAATCAGTTGTTATCTTGTATTATTTGATAGTCAAGCAGAGAATAGGAGACGCCGGGCAATAGTAGTAATACTCACTATATATATATATGGTGAGTCTTAATTAAGTCTGTTAATTATGGGCTAAACAAGTACTAGTGTGAGTTCTGTTCCATCCGATTTTAGCTTGACCTGCACGATAATAGTCATACAAATAGTTAATTTTGAAAGCTTCTCGACTGAATCGCTTCGTTAGGTGGAAGCACATTTTTGCTAGTATATTATACGTTAAACATCAATGGAAGATGGCAAGCGTTCTTGTCGAAGTTGTTAGTTTACTGTGGACCGGAGATTCGTAAAAATTCGCTGGCGCTAAACACCCATGAAGTCATGCTCCGCTCTAGTCGAATGCTTATTAATTAAAGGGTTATTTATTACAAGGTGAGGGGCTATAAGTGCTCAGTCAGTCAAGCAGCGGTTCATGTCGCCCTGTTTCGTTAAACGGCCGGCGACAAATATAAAATGACTGATCCCGCTAGCGATGGCTGTCAGCGATAGCCGCGTACCCCTCTTTTTCTGTTTGTTACGATCCGCTCAAATTAATTGAGGCTCATTCAACATCACCAGTGAAAACGCCAGCCAATCGCAACGTTTATTGCTTCATTCGTGAAGAAGTACTCAAATATGCATTGCGAATCTCAAATAGCCATGACCAGATATTAATTTAAGGAATAAATGAAAATAAGGCATTGTTAAGGTTATAGGATTATCAGCCTGCCTGTCGTGCCGTCCCATACGCCTATTGAAGAAACCCTACAGTAAGATGCACTTCGGTTAGACTTCAAGCGGATGCAAGCTTTAATACCTAAAGGCAAAGTGATTTTTAAAGAAAAAACCGAATGTTAAAAAATAAAATACATTATACAGGCGTTCCTGCCAGTAGCGTTGACGGATATGGTGCCTATGTGTATTTCTAATATTCAAATAACTGTGTTGTATATTTATGCATATCATAGACATTCTTGAAAATAAGTGACAACCGATTTCTACAGGAAGATATTGAGGATCAGTAGCAGAAGATTATTTTCTCATATATTCGATGAATGTTCATTGTGCAGAGCCTGTTTTTATATTATTTGAAGCTCAGCTAATAATGAAGCTAGTGTCGGCACAGATCGTGCCTTCCAAAAACTTCGAAGGATGGTAGAAACAACCGTGTGAAATTACCACAGAAGCTTTAGAGAACGTTAAGCAAGGATACGTCTGGCACAAATAGCATAAATTGAGGCGTGCATCGATAGGATCATATTGATGAGAGAAACCATTTTATTCATGTCAAAAGCGCAGACAATAACTATGTCAAGCCTTATTATTTCTTATTATTCTTCTTAGAAGATACTCATCAGGATGTAAAAAAATAATGCAATAGGACCTAGAATTCATACTTTCATACATTCAAAAGATGTCAGGAAATACCGAGACTCCTGTCATTCGGGAAGCCGCCTTAGGGCATCTTTCCATTTCAATTCTACTTTACTCGCAAGAAGGCTACGCTTAAAAATACGGCAAAAATCTCCGTAGTGACTACCTTGCAGGACAGCTTAATTCCTATCAGATCGGACATAAGAGACAATTGAGTGTAGCAAAATACTTGAACGCAAGATATTCTTAGTCGATGCCAGGAGTAACGATGAAAATATCTAAACGCTTAACGTCCAAGTTGCTTAAGCAAAAACAAGACACTGA